AGCTGAAATAGGGCACCTGGCCCACTCAGTGCATGGAGTATGTGACTTTTTTTTTTTTTAAAGATGTTATTTATTTATTCATGAGAGACATAGAGAGAGAGAGAGAGGCAGAGACACAGGCTCTAGAGAAGCAGGCTCCATGCAGGGAGCCCGACACGGGACTCGATCCCGGGACTCCAGGATCACGCCCTGGCCTGAAGGCAGGCGCTCAACTGCTGAGCCACCCAGGCGTCCCGCGTATGTGACTCTTGATCTCAGGATCATGAGTTTGAGCCCCACGCTTGATGTAGAGATTACTTAAAAAAAATAATAATAATGGGGTGCCTGAGTGGCACAGTTGGTCGAGTGTCCGACTCCTGATTTCCACTTAGGTTGTGATCTTGGGGTTGTGAGATCAAGCCCTGCTTCTGGCTCTGCACTCTGTCCCTCCCCGTACCCCCATTGTACGCGCGTGCATGCACGCTCTCTCTCTCTGAAATAAATAAAATCTTTAAAGGTAATAAAAATAATAAGAAACTGAAATAATAATGTAGCAAATACCCAACCATCCCTTACCCAGATTCACCAGGTCTTAACATTTTGCCATATTTGGTTTCCCTCTTTCATATACCGAGATGCGGATGTGTGGAGTTCTTTGCTGGTGTGTTTGTTAGTTGCAGGCATCCTACATCTTCATTTCTAAGTACTTGAGCATGCACCTCTTACATAATCACAGCACCAGGATCGTCCTTAGGAAAATTGACATTAAAATTCCATAATATTACCTTACATTTCCATTTTTCCAACTGTCATCCAATGATTTTTATAGCTACTGTCTTTTTCCCTCTGAGCCAGAATCCAGTTCAGGATCTCTCACTGAATCTTGTAGTCCTGTTCCTTTCACCTTTTTTTCCCCAGCTTTATGGAGATATAATTGCCATATAAGGTTGTGTAAGTTTAAGGTGTACAGCGTGGTGATTTGATGTACGTGTGTTGCTAAATAGTTTCCACGGTAAGGTTAGTTGACACCTCCTTCACCTCACAGAAATACCATTTTGTTGTTGTGTCACATGCCTAGCGTCCTGTTTATTCGAGAACATTCCCCAGCCTCTGAGTGTTCCTTGGTTTTGTCTCTTACAACATTAACTTTGAGAGTCCGGGCCAGTTGTCAAGGCTGTGCCTGATTGCATCTTCCTGATTTGAGTCAGATTAACGGGCTCCATGGGAGTCCTACCCCCAGGATGCTGTGCCCTCCTCCGGTCGTCCCGGCGGGAGGCGCTCTGTCGTTGCTCTCATCGTGGGTGATGCTTGATTCGGTCGCGTGGTTAACGAGATAGATCGATATGTCTGTCTGCCAGGTCCACCTGTTGTGTAGATGCTTTTCTGCTTTCTAATTCACCTGTGGGGTGGTCTTTGGAAGCCATGTCACTGTCTCATTCCCCCCAGCAGCTTTTCCTTGAGCGACTTGAGCTGGCTTTTTGCCCTTTTGGCTTGCTGCATCATATGGCTTGCTGCACCTGAAGGTCGGGGCCCCGTCACCGCAGGGACTGTTGTTCCCTCTTAGGGATACCCGGCTGTTTATTTGCCTGGTCCCTCACTGATGGACATAAAGATAGCTTCCCAGTCACTTGCCACCATAGACAATACCACAGGGACTTTGTAGGCACATGTGAAACAGAAACAATGCCTCAGTTGTGCCCCAGAGGTTGAGGGGAAGTTCCTTGGGCAGAGAAGAGGGAGGGAGTGGAGAGGGAATGCCAGGCGAGGGGGGAACAGCAGGTGTGACACAGGTCCATCTGAGGTGCCAGAGAGCCAGCAGGTCCCAGAAAAGTCAAATGACTTTCCCAAGGTCACATGCAGCAAGTTGATGGCAGAGCCAGGAATAGGACTCAGAGCCTCTGACTCCCAGGACAGCGTCCCAGCAGCCTCCACAGGGTGGCCTAAAAGCAGGTTCATGTGACTCCAAAGGGACCCCTGTGTGCCTGGCTCAGGCCAGACCAGAGCCCTAGGTTTACAGGGGCCCCTCCCAGCCATCCTGGCTCTTTGTGTCCAACCTGGAGGGAGCTGGCCCCTGGCCCCTCAGGACCCTTGGGAGGGAGACCTCTGAGCCCGCCTGGGCTTGACGCCTGCAGGGAGGAGCTGTCCGAGAGCCCATGGCTTGCCCTGCAGCATTCCTGGGCAGGGACGGGTCGAGGCGCCTGGCAGCTGCGTGCAGAGCAGCCCTGGCTGCTGTGGAGGTGCCGCCAACCCATTGTACAGGTGGAGAAACCAGGTCCTGAAGTTTTAGGCAATAGACCAAGGGAGGGCTCAGCTCCTTCCCCTGCCTTCCAGATGTCTGGTTGTCGGAGCCTGGCCCCTTGAGCTAGCCCACCCTGGCCTCTCCAGTGGCGCTTGCCCATCCTCTGGGCACCGCATGGTGCCGGGGCTCGGCAGCCGAGGCCCGAGCGCGGCAGGGTGCTCCCGGGAGGTGTAAGCCCGCCAGCAAGACCACCTTGCCTCTTGACCTCGCTCAGGGTCCTCGTCTACAATATGGGGGTAGTAACAGGCTCAGTTGTTAGAGGATTAGATGAGCTATAACGTGCCAAGGACGGGGCCTGGCACAGAACAAGTGCTCAGAAAACAGGGCCTATTATTATTATTTTTATTATTATCATCAAGTCAGTGGGGAGGCGGCGGCAGCAGCTGCAGGCCAGGAAGGGAGTGTTTGGGGAGGGTGACTAATGGGGCCACAGCCACCATGCCCTCTGTGGTGGCCCAGTGGTGGCAAGCTGGGGAGGGAGGGGAGGCCGGCCGAGGGTGTGGAAAGCTGGCAGGGCCTCTGTTCAGAAGGGCCTGAGGGTCAGGGTCCCCGCCAGCCCCATTGGAACCCTCATTTGGGTTCTGGGCCATCACCCCTAACGAGCTGTGTGACTTCACACAAGTTGTTTGGCCTCGTGAGCCTCAGTTTCCGCTCCTGTAGAATGGGGGCAAGAGCAGCTCACGGCTCACCACGGTTTGTGGGCCACAAGAGCCCAGCGGGCGGTTCCTGTCCCCGGCTCAGCAGCTCAGCCGTGCGACTGTGTGTTCGGTGGGGGCGATGTCTCTGCTCGGCCTAGTGGGCCCCGGGCTCCTGTGCCGACAGCAGACGTCGGCAGGTTGGCCTCGGGACGAGAAGCCCCGTGTCCCGGAGGAGGGAGGCCTTTCTGTCTGGAGGAAGGGGGCGGCTATGCCAAGCCCTGCGCCAGACCTTCTCAGGCCCGAGGTCTCCTACTCCCTCGCAGCCTGCATGCAGGGCACGCCTGTCCCTGCCTGGCAGGGTGAGGATCCGAGGCTCAGAAGGGTTGAGTCATTCTTCTGAGTTGCACACTCAACGGAGCCAGGTCCGCCTGACTGGAAGCCGGAGTGAGGCCTGGGAGTGGTGGTTCTCCCGGCCGTTGCTGCCCTCAGCCGCGCACTTCACTGCTGAGGCCCCCGGTTCCTTGTCTGAAGCCCCCGCTGAGCTGCCAGGTTGGTGCTGGGCGGGCACCTCCGGACTGTCCCGACAGCAGCCGCATAGGGTGCTCAGATGGCCGGGCTGTGTCCCACCGCCCTCCCGGGGCTCGCAGCCGGGCCCCTTCCTCTCGGCTGTCCCTGTCGACCTGCCCTTCTGGCTCGGCCTGCACCCCACCCGGTGGAACCTTTTCCAGCTTGCCTTCTGTCCCTAAGCTCTCTGTTCTTCAGAGTGTGGCTCTGGGGCTCCCCCCTCCCAGAAACGGGCCTCGGCCCTGTGGTCCTTGTTCAGCTCGCAGGCCAGGCACATTCACTCAAGCGTCTCCTCCCACTGCCCAGCCTGGGGGGGCAGGTGGCATTGCAGCCTGGCCCTAGACCTTGTTCGTCCTGTCAAATGCACCTGGGAACAGGACTCCTGGGGTTTCTCTCCTAACACGCAGGGACGAGTCACTGGCCTGTCTGAGCCTCCATCCCTTGGAAACAGAGAACAGTGGCTCCAGCCCCACTGCTTCCTGAGATGGGGGTTCGGGGGGCTCTGGGCTTCAGGAAGGCAGCGGCGGTCAAGGGGGTGCCAGGCTGGGGCCACGGAGTGTGTGTGTGGCTTGCCGCCCTTGGAGCGTGGGTCGGCTGGAGGTTTTCTGGAGGGGTCAGCTGCACCGAAGGAAACCACAGAGTGCCCTAGGCGTAAGGGTACAGCTCTGTGAGGTGCGGCAAGGAGAACTCCGCTCTTCCAGTGGCTCTACCCCTTCGAGGGCAGCTGCTGTCCCTGCACCGTGGGCTCGGCCAGATTTTGAATTTTATACGGTCTACGTGGGATTACCCAGCCTGTGCTCTCTGTCGGGCTTTCGGGTTGATACTGTTTCAGAAATTCATCATCGTGGTTTCATTATTCAGTCTACTCGTGTTTGCTGCTGTGCAGCATGTACCGCTCTGGAAGACAGCACAGCTTAGCCATCTTACCCTTGATGGGTATCGGGGCGGCTCCCAGCGTGAGGTTGCTTACAGATCCTGCTGCGCCGTTGCTCTTGTGCACATCTGGGCTGACACCTGCCCTGTGTTCTCTTGGGTGTGTACCTAGAAGTGGGGTGACCGGGCCACGAGGTTGGTGTACCTTTGTCTTTAGACATGTTGCCTGGGCACGTTTTTATAGGCTGTGGGACTAGGAGGCCCACGGAGAACAGGTGACTTTCCCAAGTTGCGTTGCACCTTTCCTAGGCTCACGGAGCCACCCTGGGCTCCCTTCCTCCACAGACCACGTGACTGACCTCTGGGCCTGGGGCTGCTCACCCCCAGAGCTTCTTTTGCCTCTGTTGGCCATTTGGTGGGGCTGTGAGGCCCCCATGGGCTTAGGATTGGTGACCCCTCCATCCCTGGGGGCCCTCAGCCTTCATGCTCCTGCCTCCCCCTATCTGGTGCTCTCAGGCTGCCAAGAGTCCCAGCTCTAGGGGCCTTCGGTACGTGTTCACATTGCTGTGGGGAAGGAATGCGGGGCTCAGTGACTGGGAGGAGCCAGCTTCTCACACCCCTCCTTGGTCTTCCCCTTCTCCCTGCAGCTCTCATGGTACCAAGTGACGGGGTGGCCTTCCTGTGACAGGAGGACGCCAGATCTTCTGAGAAGATGTCAGCAATCCAGGTACCGTGGGGGCGGGGGCTGGGGCAATTGAGTACTCCCCCCACCCCTGGAAGGGTGCTCAGTGGAGGAGAGAGAACGAGGCCTCATGTCAGTCTGCTCCCCTTGGCCCCACCCTGGCCTTTGACAAAGGAAAATTCTAGAGTGTACTGTTGGACCCAGGGCCCTCAAGGTGGGCATACGGAACTGGGGGCAGTGGGGGGATCTCAGCTGGAAGGCACCCAGAGTTCTCGGGGCGGGAGGTTTACAAAGAGCAGCGAGAGTGTGTCCTGGAGGGCGGATGGGCAGTGGGTGGAGATGGGCCCCGGGCTCCCTCCACCTGCCCACCTGTCGCCTGCCCTACAGGCCGCCTGGCCATCCGGTACAGAATGTATTGCCAAGTACAATTTCCATGGCACTGCCGAGCAGGACCTTCCCTTCTGCAAAGGAGATGTGCTCACCATTGTGGCGGTCACCAAGGTAATCGGGGACCTCACCAGGCCACACCTACGCCCTCCCGCCTCTGGGCATTCCTGCTGGGTGGGGGCTCCCCTGCAGGGGGGCCAGGGGAGGGCTGAGCGTGTGTCTGGGCTGCCCTCTCCCCAGGACCCAAACTGGTACAAAGCCAAGAACAAGGTGGGCCGTGAGGGCATCATCCCAGCCAACTACGTCCAGAAACGGGAGGGCGTGAAGGCCGGCACCAAGCTCAGCCTCATGCCGTGAGTACTGCTGAGGAGCGCTCGGGGTCTGCAGCGTGGGGAGGAGGGAGGACGAGAAGCCCTGGTTCCCTAGAGGAGTCAGGAAAGCAGTGAGCGGGCGTAGGGGTTGCAGCGTGTGAAGGCTTCTCAGGCGGCGGGCGAGGCGCGGGTGCTAGGTCCCCGGGACCTGGGAGGCCCGAAGCAGGAGGAGCGCGTGGGGGCCGTGGGGAGGTGGCACAGAGGGAGGACCTCAGACAGTGGGCCCGGGTGGCCAGGGTCTGTGCCTGGAGCCGCCGCGAGCCCTGGCCCGGCCTCCCCGCAGCTGGTTCCATGGCAAGATCACGCGGGAGCAGGCCGAGCGGCTGCTGTGCCCACCCGAGACCGGGCTGTTCCTGGTGCGGGAGAGCACCAACTACCCTGGGGACTACACGCTATGCGTGAGCTGTGACGGCAAGGTGGAGCACTACCGCATCATGTACCACGCCAGCAAGCTCAGCATCGACGAGGAGGTGTACTTTGAGAACCTCATGCAGCTGGTGGAGGTGAGCCGGCCCGGCTTCTGGCCCAGTGTCCCCCCCACTGCTGGCTGGCCTCGGCACGTGCCGCCTCCGGAGCCTGCGTTTCCTCATGCCCCTCGCACCTTGGCGAAGCACCTGCTGCGTGCCAGGGTGGACTTCTGGCCCCACACACCACCACAGGCAGGGGACAGAGAGGCTCAGAGCAGTTTCGGGACCTGCCTCAGGTCACACAGCTGTCAGTTAGAGGCGCCAGGGCCAGAATCGGAGTCTCGCCCCAGAACTAGGCTTCCCTCCAGGCCTCAGAGCCACATGTCAAGCTCCGTACATAAGCCTGCCCTCATGAGCTGTACCTTGGTGGTCAGGTCACAACCCTGCGTGGCTGTGGCCACATGTCCCTGCAACTCCCAAGGCCAGTTCTGCTGGTCCTGTTGAGGCCACACCTGGCTTCCCGGAGCCCCAGCGGCCTCCCAGACACCTCCCGTGCCCGTTCTCAGCTCCTTGCCCCTGCTAGCCTCTGGCTGGGGGGAGGTCTCCTCGCGTCTGGCCAGAGGCCAGGGCTCGCCTTCCGCCTCGGGATGCTGGTGAGGCCCGTGGCCCCAGTGGTGGCGACAGCCTGCGTCTGTCCAGCCCCTGGATGTGAGGGTCACAGATCTGAGTCTGGGACCTCCCTAATCCTTCCCTGGGGGGACCCGAGGAGCTCGGCCCGGTGGGCTCGCCTTCGCCGCCCTCTGGTGGTTGGAGCCGGGCAGTGCGCGTAGGCGGCGGGCGCGGCGCTGGCCCTGAGCCCCCGCCCTGCCCCCCGCAGCACTACACCTCGGACGCGGATGGACTCTGTACTCGCCTCATCAAGCCAAAGGTCATGGAGGGCACGGTGGCCGCCCAGGATGAGTTCTTCCGCAGTGAGTGCCGTCCCCGCCCCGTGCTCACCTGCTTCCCCGCCTCCTCCCTCCCCGCTCCCGGGCACCGCCCCCATCCCTGGAGGAGCCCTCCCCAGGACGCCACACACTGTGACGCCTGCTCTGGCTTCACCCCTCACTGACACCCCCTCCCCCGCCAGGCGGCTGGGCACTGAACATGAAGGACCTGAAGCTGCTGCAGACCATTGGGAAGGGGGAGTTTGGAGGTGAGCGGGAGGGGGTGGCAGCAGCGGGAGGGCCGAGGGCCGGTGGAGGGTCCAGGGAACAACCTCCAGCCCTCGCCCCACAGACGTGATGCTAGGCGATTACCGAGGGAACAAGGTTGCTGTCAAGTGCATTAAAAATGACGCCACTGCTCAGGCCTTTCTGGCTGAAGCCTCTGTGATGACGTGAGTCGGGCTGCGAGTGGGTGTGGAGGTGTCCCGGGGCAGGGGATGGATGGGGGGGCCTGGCAGCGCTGACCACCCCCATCCTGCCCCAGGCAACTTCGGCATAGCAACCTGGTACAGCTTCTGGGTGTGATCGTGGAAGAGAAGGGCGGGCTGTACATTGTCACGGAGTACATGGCCAAGGTGCGCCCCTGCCCGGAGAGCCGCCCCCGCCCTGGGCTGAACACTCCAGCCTTCCCGCCGCCCGGCCCCTCACCGCACCCTGGGGCCCCTCTCCCCGACTGAGCTTTGAAGTCACCAGGCAGGGCTCAGCTTTTGTCCTGACTCCTCCTTCATTCCCTGTGACCTCACCAGGCCTGTTTCCTCCCCTGTGGGATGGAGGTAGTGCCAGGGTTTGCCTTAGAGATTTGTGAGCTCCGAGCTCAGGGAACTGCCGGGCGCGGGGGCCAGCTTGCAGAACCTACTGCTCGTTCCGCCGTGATGCCCCGAGCCCTCCCCTGTGGGTTCCCCTCAAGTGTTTACCCAGCCCACGGTTCGAGAGGACAGGGGGCGAGTCTGACCCGTGGGGCCAGTCGGTCTGTCTATCCTGCCTTAGGGAAGCCTGGTGGACTATCTGCGGTCGAGGGGTCGGTCGGTGCTGGGCGGAGACTGTCTCCTCAAGTTCTCACTGTGAGTGAAGCAGCACCCATTCGGGGGGCCCCTGCCGTGCCGTGGGTGCCCTGTCTGAGGGGCTGTGTGGCTGGCTCTCTCCCAGAGATGTCTGTGAGGCCATGGAATACCTGGAGGGCAACAACTTCGTGCACCGGGATCTGGCTGCCCGCAATGTGCTGGTGTCTGAAGACAACGTGGCCAAGGTCAGCGACTTTGGCCTCACCAAGGAGGCCTCCAGCACCCAGGACACGGGCAAGCTGCCAGTCAAGTGGACGGCCCCGGAGGCCCTGAGAGAGAAGGTGGAGGGGGCCTAACCCTGAGCCGGGGGGCTGCTGGGTTGGGGTCCTGGGCTCCCCTCCCCCACCTCCACCAAATCCCGAATCCCCAGTGTCTGACCCTGCTTCTCCCATCCACGTGGCAGAAATTCTCCACCAAGTCTGACGTGTGGAGTTTCGGAATCCTTCTCTGGGAAATCTACTCCTTTGGGCGAGTGCCTTACCCAAGAATTGTAAGTTCGGCGCCGGGCCTGGCCAGGGCTGGGCGGGGAGGGGGCTAGGGAGCCTCCTGGGCCCTGCTGGGTGTTCTGAGCTGCAGGCCTGCCCTCGGGACCTTCGGGGCCTGCTGGCTCTGAGGCCCAGGTCTGAGGGGGATCCCCGGAGCTGAGTCGGGGTCCCCCGGGGGGTCGGCCCTACACACTCACACCACCCGCCTGCCACAGCCCCTGAAGGACGTCGTCCCTCGGGTGGAGAAGGGCTACAAGATGGACGCCCCCGACGGCTGCCCACCTGCGGTCTACGAGGTCATGAAGAACTGCTGGCACCTGGATGCTGCCACAAGGCCCTCCTTCCTGCAGCTCCGGGAGCAGCTCGAGCACATCAAAACCCACGAGTTGCACCTGTGACCGCTGCCTCCTCCCCCAGGTCGTGGGGCTGCGGGACTGAACCTGGAGCAATTGTGGGCCTGGTGCCCCCACTGGCTGGGCCCCAGCCTGAACTGAGCCCAGCGGGCCAGTGGGCCTCCTTCCTCTGCCCCAGCCTGCGCCCCCTCTGGCCCCGCAGAGACCCTGCCTAGGCCTGGCACCTCTTCTCATGGACCCACCCGCGGGGTGTCGGGAGCCCCACCGAAGGGCCAAGGAGGGAGGAGGCTGAGGAGCGTGAGGCAGATGCCTCCCGCCGCAGTCAGGCTTCTCCTGGCCTCCCATCTCTCGCCTTCTTAGAGTTTTATTCCTTTCCTTTTTTTGAGATTTTTTTCCCGTGTGTTTATTTTTTATTATTTTTCAAGATAAGGAGAAAGAAAGTACCCAGCAAATGGGCATTTTACAAGAAGTACGAATCTTATTTTTCCTGTCCTGCCCGTAAGGGTTGGGGAGAGCAGGCCCCTCTCTAGGGACCCGTCAGCCCAGCCTCGTTCCCCATTCCGTGTTCCGTGTCCCGTGTCGCCTCGGTCGCCCGTGTTTGCGCTTGCCCATGTTGCACTGTTTGCATGCGCCCGAGGCAGACGTCTGTCAGGGGCTTGGAGTTCATTCATGTGCCGCTGCCGCCCACCCACCTGCCTTGTGAGATGGAACCGTAATAAACCACTCCATGAGGACACCGCTGCCGGCCTCGGCGCTTCCTCCGCCGAGCCTGCCTGGCCCCCCGGCCCCCTGTCCCTGTGCCATCTTGTCCATCCCCCTGTCTCTGTGAGTGGGGCTGTGCTTGCCCTGGGAGTGGAGTCGGGCGGGGAGCACGGCCGGGAGATGTAGCCGCGCTTTGTGTCAGCTGCACGAGCGAGTGTCCTGTGTCTGCTGTGGGGGGAGCCCTTACCCCCCGCCCTCCCCCACCATCCTGCTGTGGCGGGGGCTTGGCCCTGGGGCCGTCCCGAGCTCGGGACCCTGTGCACAGGGTAACATCTGGGGGTCCCAGCTGCCTCCCCCGCCGTGTGGTTCAAGGCAACAGCACGAGGAGGCCTGGCACCAAGGATGGGGGAGGCGCCCAGGCCTGACCAGGTGGAAGCGGGGTCCCCCTGGTTGGAGGCAAGATAAATGTCACCTGCCTCAGAGAAAGTGTTGACCCCAGAGGGTGAGGGAGGGGGAGCCTCTGAGCCGCTGGTGGTTCTCACCGTTGACCCAAGATGACACAGCGCTGGCCTGTCCCACGTGTGCCCGGCCGCGTGCCTGAGGATGAAGGTGGGGGGCCTTCCCCACTCTGCCTCGGGGGCCCTGGATAGAGGATGAGGACCCACCAGGGCATGTTCTCCCCTCCCTCAGGTTGCCCGGGTGTGGTGGTCAGTGCAGAAGCTGTAAAGATTGGGGGAGGCTCCTTTCATTACTGAGATGGGCACCTCGCTGGGTTGGGGGCGGTTTCCCTTGCCCGGGGGCGACGCTGACCGCTGCCAAGCTAGCAGGACCTGAAATCCAGGGGGTTCAGACTTGGCCGTGTGTCTCATGCCTGTGTCTCAGCCCCCAGCAGCCCAGTCGCCAGTGTCTGCCCTCCGCCCGGAGCAGCAGCTTCCTCGCCTCCCCTACCAATGACAGGCTGATTTCTCCAAGGCCAGACCCTTGGTTCATTCAACGACAGACATGTGAAAACCTGCTTTGTGCTAGGACTGGGGCTCGGCAACGAGCAAGACAGAGCCGTGGAGTTAGGGAGGCCATCACACCGACGACTACAAGCTGCTAAGTGCTACGGCAAAAACCATGTGTAACGGGATCGGATCTTGTCTGTAGGTCAGGGAGGACTTCCCGTAAGAGGCAGCACGGCAAGCTAGATGAGGATGACCAGGAGGTGTGAGGAGTGGGCTGCAGCATTCCAGGAAGAGATGCCTGGACTGGAGAGAGGGCAGGCGAGCCTTGAGGTAGAGGGGGGAGGTCAGAGCAAAGGTTGGCTTTTTTAAATTTTTTTTTAATTTTTTTTTTTTTAATTTATGATAGTCACAGAGAGAGAGAGAGAGAGGCAGAGACATAGGCAGAGGGAGAAGCAGGCTCCATGCACCGGGAGCCGGATGTGGGATTCGATCCCGGGTCTCCAGGATCGCGCCCTGGGCCAAAGGCAGGCGCCAAACCGCTGCACCACCCAGGGATCCCAAAGGTTGGCTTTTGTCACACTGAAAGCCACGGGGAGCCAGTGACAGGCTCTGAACAGGAAGGTGTTGATACAAACACTGTGGCTGCTGGTGGAGGAGTCCCCCCAGGGGGCAGAGGGGGGCTGATGAGTGTAAGAGAAGGCCGGGAGTGGTCGGCCTCCAGAGGGATGTGAGATGAAGCCCAGGGGACTTGCCAGCGGAGTCCTCATGCAGGTGCAGGGCGGGCAGAGCATCGCAACCCCGGACACGCAGAGTGGCCGGGGCAACGGGGCGGCCACCAGGAGGCTCCTGTCCAGGAGAAAGCACCGAGTTCTAGTAAGGGCATGGAGAGTTTTAGGAAAGGGTGCCTTTGACTGCCAAGAGGCCATGAGCAAGTTGTTGGAGCCCAGAGGCTGGAGCAGGGAATCGGAGAGGTCAGAGTGCGGCTTGCATCTGAAGCCACGTCCAAGGAGGAGGTCACTTTGGGAGGATGTGCAGAAGGAGCCCGGGACCATGCCTGGGGGAGTTCTTGACATTCAAAGGTCAAGGAGAGGAGGCTGGCCAGGCAGGGTATGGAGAGGGGGTAGCAGACCGCCCTGTGACAGAGGCAGGGGACAAGCCGGCAGGTCCTTTCTTCCCAGAAGAGCAGAGCCTGCCACTGGCGTCAGCCAGGAGGCCGCTGGGCCTCTAGCGAAACTGGAGTTCGTGGGGGTGCAGATTCTAGGCCTGGCTAGGGGGGTGAGCCCTGCAGGAAGGTCCCCGGCTTGGGAGATTCAGCTGTAAGAAGAGGAAAGGGTGACAGGGGATTTGAAGGCAGCAGAGGGGGAGCAAATCTGATGCCAAAGGGAGGGACGTTTGCCTTCAGGCTGCATCCACGTGCTGAGGGGGTGGAAAAGGTAGAGGCGGGAATGGTAGTGACCCAAGGGGGAGGCTTCCTTAGAGCAGGAGGGGTGGCTGGACACCCGCCAAGCGCGAGGTGTGCCGTGATGGAGCCCGCACTCGGAGGGAACCGCAGGCCGCTCCGTCGCTGGAAACAGACCCCGGGGCGTGGAGGGGGCTCAGATCTGGAGCTTGCTCGCGTCCACGGTGTACTCGCCACGGCCAGTGTCAAGCCACCAACCTGACTTCACTGAAGGCACAGGTGGCGGGGGAGTTTTGAGAACTGGCTCGGGTTCAGACACCTGCACTGGTGCGTGGCCACGGGATCCGGAGAGAAGGGCCGGGGCCAGGGCATGCAGGCCCAGAGAGCTGGATGCTCCCAGTCCTTCCACCTGCTGACATGTGAGTCCGCCCTGTTCTTCCTTCCAGTCTCTCACGTGACTTATGGCTGTTTTGTTCCCTGTGCTGGCCGCTGGCCTAGCGGAGACAAGCATGTCACCCTCATAGAAAGCCCACTCAATCTCAACTTGGTGCCCAGAAATCTGGTGAAGTGGAGGGGGCAGGAGGTGCTAGGTGGCTTCTCAGACACCTGGAGGCCGGGCAGGGACAGAGAATGAGGCGTTTCTGGCAAAGGAAGGGCACTGCCTGGGCAAAGTGCTGAGATGCCACAGCCTGATGAGGTCCTGAAGTGTGGCTGGGCCCCAGGTGCCAGTGGGGGTCTTTTGGAAGCAAGCAAGGCTGGAGAGGAAGCAGGGCCCAGACCCCACCTGGCTCTGCAGATCCCACGGGTTTAACTTGCTACAAATGACCAGGAGCAATTGAAGGGTTTAGGACCAAGGAGCCATGTGGTCAGATCTGCATTTGAGAATAATTCTGGTTACAATCTGGCCCTGGGGGTGGGAGTGTCCAGAGTGGAGAGAGAGAGACAGTGGGGAGGCTGCAGGCGGCCAGCCAGGAGGTGACTGCCAGTGGCCTGGGCTGCAGAGGCCATCGGAGGTGCAGAGGAAGGTGAGCACAGCTGACACTTTACTGAGCGGAGTGCTCACTACGTGCCCTATTCTCAACACACGAGATGTGTCATCCCACATACCCCCCAGTCAGCTCTTGAAGATACCTGCTGTGAGTACCTCATCTTACAGATAAAGAGGCTTGAAGGTTAGAGGATCAGGTAAGGTGGCCTATGAGTAACGAGAGCAAGTTGAAGAGCTTGCTCCCGTTTGACAGGGCAGGGGTGGGGGTTGCCATTCACGAGCCCCTAGCCTTGACAAGGGCAGGCCAGACGTTGGACAACAGCAGTTTAAGGTGGATGTGTTCTCTGGGGACCTTCAAGTAGAGATGTCACCACAGAGTTAGACATTCAGGCCCATAGCTGTGAGTTAACAGTAGAGGTTTGGGGATCATGAGCACAGCAATGGTGCTGGAAGCCGTGGGCTTGGGTGAACTTGGCCAGGGAACTCAGGGAAAGCGAGGACAGGCCCCAGCACAAGGAACCCCAGAGGGGCCGGGGACGGAAGGCAGTGGGTGGCAAAGGTGCACCGAGGAGGCCAGCAGGGGTGAGGGTGAGGGGGGCCCTGCAGGGGAGCCAGAAGGCTTCTCAGAGTGTAGGGGAGGGGGCGAGGAAGTGGATGCTCATGGCAGTCCACCCTGCAGAGACCGGTTGACAAGTGTCCCCTGGAAGCAAAGAACAGGGGTCATTGTCAGGCCCTCCCAGAGTGGTTTCCTTTCCTTTCTTTTTTTTAAGATTTTATTTATTTATTTGAGAGAGAAAGCATGAGTAGGGGGAGGGGCAGAGGGAGAGGGAGAGGGAGAAGCAGACTCCCCGCAGAGCAGGGAGCCCCATCTGGGGTTGGATCCCAGGACTCTGGGATCATGACCTGAGCCGAAGGCAGACGCTTAACTGACTGAGCCACCCAGGCACCCCTGGAGCGGTTGTCATGGGGCAGTAGGGGCAGGAGTGAGAACCGAGTGGCAGGTGAGGGAGCAGGGCCACACTGGGGCCTGCCGTTCCACAGCGTGGCCGTGGAGGTGGGGACAGCAGGGTGCAGGTGGCTGAGCACTTACTGTTTAGAAATGAATGTTTCCTTTTAGCATGTCCTAAGCTTTTCCATTTATAGCCTTGATTTTAATTAATTTGTAGGGTTTCGGTAACTTAATCCCATTGAGAACTTAGAAAGTACAGTAAAACTTCAGCTAGCCAGATTCTTGGCAAGTGAGCCACTCTGGAAAATGAGCATTTGAGTGAAAATATTTGAAATATAGGATTTCTTTTTTTAAAACATTTGTAGAATGGAAATAATCCTATAACCATATGCAGGAGAGAGAAGACACAAACACCCACATCCTCACCATCCAGCGTGAACAGCAGTTCCAGACTAATCCTGTGCCCACCACCCCCACCTCTGAGCTCTGAGCTCCCGGACACTTGGAAGCAGATCCCAGACACTTGGTCAATTCATTGGTAGAGCTTTCCTACATTTCTCTAAAAGACAAAACACATTTTTAAAAAAAGATTTTATTTATTCATTCATGAGAAACAGAGAGAGAGAGAGAGAGAGGCAGAGACACAGGCAGAGGGAGAAGCAGGCTCCATGCAGGGAGCCCGACACGGGACTCGATCCCGGGACTCCAGATCACGCCCTGAGCCCAAGGCAGATGCTCAATGGCTGAGCCCCCCAGGCGCCCCAAGACAACACTTTTTAAAAAAATAATGTGACCACAGTACCATTATTACTCTTAAAATCTTTAACAGCAATTCCTTATTTAAATCAAGTATTCGTTGTTCAGATTTCCCCCCAATAGTCTCATTTCCCCCCAGTCGGTTAGTTAAAACGAGGCTCCAGACAAGGCCACACGTGGCGTTCATTTGCTGTTGAGACCCCCTTTCTCTGCAGGTAACTTCTGTGTTGAGGAAACAGGCGCTTGGAGGCCTGAGTGTCCGGGGACGCGGGAGGAGCGCCTGGGAAAGAGAAGGCCGGACAGAGAAGGCCGGGGGTGGCCGGCCGGGGACGTTGATCTGCGGGCAGGAGGCGGGGGATGGAGCCCATCCTGAGCCAGGGGAGAGGCCGCCCGAGGGACGGCGGGTGTTGGCCCGAGGCCGGTGGCAGGGGCGCAGCCAGGTGCGCCAGAGGTCGGGGTCAGGCTGGCGAGTAGGTCGCCCCGAGGAACCGGCCTCTGTGGGGACAGGGAGAGGACAGGCGACAGCAGCTCCTCCCCGCCCGGCCACCCTGGCGCCCCGCCCTGGCCTCCCCCTGCGGCTGCAATGCTGGTGGCCAGCGGGGAGCCCCTGCTCCGCCTCGCCGTCGCCCTCCTCCTGCTCCTGGGCGCCCCCGGCCCTGAGGGGGCCAGTTCTCTTCAGAAGAGGTTTGAGTATAAGCTCAGCTTCAAAGGACCCAGGCTGGCGGCGCCCGGGGCTGCAATACCCTTCTGGAGTCATCATGGAGGTGAGCGGGCCAGAGGGGGGGGACCGGTGGGGACCGGCCGAGGGGAGCAATGGGGGGTGTGGATCAGCCTTGGGGCTGGCCAGCTCCAGGCAGCTGTGACTCGGTGCTGCGCGGGCCTGCGGGCCCAGGGCCCCTGTCACCGACCTCCGCCTCCGCCCACCACGGCCCACCCCGCCCCCGGCCTCAGTTTCTCTCCCTGCCTTCCTCTTTCTCCGCCTAGGGCTTCTCTCTCTCCCTCTGCCTCTCCTGGACCCTCTCCTTCCTCTGCTTCTCCGGCCTGTAAGTACACACGCTCGCCCACCTGCTGAGGCCCAGACCCACCGCCCAAGGCAGCTTGGGCCGCGCCAGACTCCCCGCTCCCTGCTCCTGCCGGGAGAACTGGGGGCTGCCTGGCAGCTGGAGCAGCAGCTCTGCCCTGTGTGTGCTGGCGGGGGGGGGGGGGGGGGGGGGGGCTGGGCATGAGCACAGTAGCTTCGGGAACTGCCCAACCAGGCCTCCGGAGTCTCCCTTCTACTTGCTCTTGTTCAAGACGGATCTTTCTCCCCACTGTGGGGCTCAGTCCCACAACCCTGAGGTCATGACCCAAGCTGAAATCAGGGGTCAGATGCTCAGCCCAGACAGGCACCCCTCGGAAAGGCTTCCCAAGGACTGACGAAAACCCACGCAGTACAGACGAGCTTATGTTAGAAATGAACAAGAGGGGATCCCTGGGTGGCGCAGCAGTTTAGCGCCTGCCTTTGGCCCAGGACGCGATCCTGGAGACCCGGGATAGAATCCCACGTCGGGCTCCCGGTGCATGGAGCCTGCTTCTCCCTCTGCCTATGTCTCTGCCTCTCTCTCTCTCTCTCTGTGACTATCATAAATAAATAAAAATTTAAAAAAAAAAAAAAAAGAAATGAACAAGAGGATCAAGACTAGGGGCTAAGGCTGAGGCAGGAGGTGAGTCTAGGAACAAGGCTTGTCACCAGCACGTGCTGCGTGGCCTGCCCCCCTGACTTGTCCATGGAGCTGGCTCAGAGCTCCCTAACAGGCAGGGCAAAGAGAGAAAGCAGATCCATCACGTATTTCTGTGTGTGTGAGATGGAAGCTCTGAGCGGCGCGTGATTCCTGACTGAGGCCAGAACAGGTGTCCCTTTACCATGACAGGCCCCGTCAATCTTCCTTCACGGAGGCACCGGAGGTAAACAAAGGAAGGGGCCGGTTCTCCCGGCACCAAGCCGGGCCCTGCCTCAGGCCCAAGATGGGAGGGCCGCGCGGCGCCCCCTGCCCCTGGGCCCCACCAGGCCAGGAGTGGCTCAGACCAGTGGAGGAGCAGAGGCTCTGCCAAGGTCACACAGCCAGATGCGGCCTGTCCATTCATTCATTCACTCCCTGCCACCACTACTGCCCCTCTGTGCCGAGCCCAGAGACGCAGGGCCGAGTCAGACTCGGGGAGACAGTTTGGGGTGAGGTCTCACGCACAACCCACGTAAGGCTGACTGCACACGTGTAGTATTCAGTGGACAATCCTTGCCTCCTACAAGCCACTTCAGAGGCAGTGGTGGCTTCTAAGGGCCCCCAGGACATCTGTTCTTGCAGCCTCTGAGCCTCCCCACCCCCAGCCCTGGCCTTGCTGAGCAAACAGCCGGGATTAGTAGCCTCCGGAAAGTCCTGGCAAGGCCTGGGCCTTGGGCCAGGTTCCAGGCTGGCAGGCCAGAGGGGTGGGGAGCCAGCTGGGTGAGGCCTCTGATCACCCTCCCCCCGATTCCTGCCGAGCCTGCCTCAGTTTCTCTCCCCTTTCCCTCCTCCTCCCAGGATAGGCCTCCCCCTAGCCACAGCCACTGAGAATTCACACACACACACACACACACACACACACACACTCACTCACTCCATCCCCACCCTTTCCTCACCACCTGCCATGCCAGCCAGGTCCCACTTTGGCTTTCAAATGCTTTCCTCACCTTGGAATGCCCCCAGGCGCCCCAACCAGGAAGCCCCCGGGCCTCGTTTGGCCACACGGGAGTCTCTCTGTGCTTCCGCAGTCTGGATCCTGAACCCCAACGTGGCTGTTCTCACAAAGCACTCTGCTGTGTCCCGGGGCCCCCCACGCATCCTTTTCCTCCGTGGGTCCTGTTTCCTAACCTGAGACTCAGAAAGGCACAAGTCTCTCTTGTGGGGCGAAAGGCTGATGCTTGAACAGTTGACACTTGAACAGCTCAGGGGTTAGGGACGCCGGCCCCACACGCGTGGAAAATCAGGATGTAACTTGTGACACCCACAAGACTTAACTGTTAATAGCTTGACCACAAGCCTTACCAATATGCACAGAGGCAAGTAACATGTTTTGTACGTTGTACGTATTATATATCATATTCTTACAATAAGGTAAGCCAGAGAGAAGGAAGTGTTAAGAAAATCATAAGGAAGAGGGCGCCTGGGAGGCTCAGTCCGTTAAGCCTCCGACTCTTGGTTTTGGCTCAGGTTGTGATCTCAGGGTTGTGAGCCTAGGCTCCAGGCTCAGTGCGGAGTCTGCTGGAGAGTCTTTCTCCAACCCCTCCTTCCTTGCTGCTCCTCCCCCTGCTCACACTCATTCTCGTTCCTTAAAATAAATAAATTCTTTAAAAATATTTTATTTAGGGCAGCCCAGGTGGCTCAGCAGTTTAACACCGCCTGCAGCCCGGGGCCTGATCCTGGAGACCCAGGATTGAGTCCTGCATCAGGCTCCCTGCATGGAGCCTGCTTCTCCCTCTGCCTGTGTCTCTGCTTCTCTCTCTCCGTGTCTCTCATGAATAAGTGAATAAAATCTAAGAAAAAAAAAGAAAAAATATTTTATTTATTTATTCATGAGAGACATACAGAGAGGCAGAGACACAGGCAGAGGGAGAAGCAGGCTCCATGCAGGGAGCCTGATGCAGGACTCGGTCCCAGGACCCCGGGGTCATGCCCTGAGCCAAAGGCAGATGCTCAACCGCTGAGCCACCTAGGTGCCCCTAAAATAAATAAATTTTAAGAAAAAAGAGAATCATCAGGAAACCGCATTTACAGTATCATATGGCATTTATGAAAACAATCGCGCGTATATAAATGGACCCACGCAGCCCAAAGCCCTGTTGTTGGAGGGTCAGCCATACTTTGGAATTGGATGAGCTGAGTTCCAATCCACTTAGTTCCTTAGCTTGTCTGAGCCCCGTGTGTAAAATGGGGTCTTCTTTTTATTTTTATTTTTTTAAATGGGGTCTTTTAACAGCAGGCCGCACAAACTGTGGTGAGGCTTCCTTGAGAAAGCAGGTGAGGGATCCCTGGGTGGCGCAGCGGTTTGGCGCCTGCCTTTGGCCTGGGGCGCGATCCTGGAGACCCGGGATCGAATCCCACATCGGGCTCCCGGTGCATGGAGCCTGCTTCTCCCTCTGCCTGTGTCTCTGCCTCTCTCTCTCTCTGTGACTATCATAAATAAATAAAATAAAATAAAATTAAAAAAAAAAAGAGAGAAAGCAGGTGAAGCGCCCCCCGTGGGTCTGACATCCGTTGCCCCCACCTGGTGAGGCACCTCAGCTGTGGGGGGCTCCAGCTCTGTGCTGGGCTCCAGCGCCCACGTCTCCGGTGGGTTCCCGTATGCGACAGCTAGCCTGTTATTTACTGGCAGGCCCTGATGTCACCTTCTTGCTCCCCCAGAGCGCGGCCCAGGCCAGAGAATGACGGAGGGCAGGGGACGGGGGGGGGGAGGGGGGGCGGGGGGGGCCCTGGCTCTGAGCTGCCCCTGTCCGCAGGTGCCGTACTGGGCCCGGAATAAGTGCGCCTGGCCCCGTCCACACAGAGCCTCAGTGGTGCCGTGTGGAGCAGGGCTCCTGTCCTCTTCTCAGCCTGGGAGGTTGAGGTGCAGATGAGGGTGACGGGGCCGGGGCGCCTGGGAGCCCAGGGCATGGTGAGTGGCCCCAGTCGAGGCCCAGCGGGAGCAGGGTTGGTGAGCTGGGGAGGTAGGTGGCGATCCCGAGGCTCCGGTGTCCTGAGGTCTCCGGGCTGAGCAGCTGGGGCCCCGCAGGCCGTGTGGTACACCCGGGACAAGGGCCAGGTGGGCTTGGCCCCAGGGCGGCCGACCTCGTGGGACGGCATCGGGATCCTCTACGACTCCTCAGCCGAGGACACCCAGGTGAGTGGTGATCTCCGGGCCGCCCTCCCGTCCACACCGTTGCACTCCAGCCCGCACCCACGGCTCAGGCCGCTTGTCACCCCCGCAGCAGAGCCCCGTCATCCGCGTGCTGGCCAGTGATGGGCACACTCGCCTTGAGTCGCACGGGTAAGCGCCTGTCAGGACTGACCCCAGCCCGCTCCCGGGGCCTCCGCGGCACCCTCACTGCCTACCCGAGCCCCAGCCTGGGTCCTGAGGCGCCCCCCTGACACTGCCCGGCTATGCCCTCCTCGCTGGCCTCTTATCTGAGCTGCTGCCCTGGAACTCCTGTCTCCTTGGTCCCCGCGGGGCCTCCTCCAGGGCAGGGACCTGAGTTTGTTCGCGCTTCCCAGGAACAGCCCCACTGAGTCCTCAATGCCTAGGGCCCCCACCCTGGTGGGGGGTGTCAAAGGACACAAGGGGAAGCATGTGCCGAGTGTGGTCGCTCACAACACCGCCTCTGAGCAGCAGCACCCTGGCGGCGAGGGATTCTTGGCCCCTAATCACAGGCTGGCCCGGGAGGCCCAGAGAGGTGGAGCGACTTGCCCAAGGTCACACGGCTGTGTGCAGGGCCGAGATTGGAGGCCACGTGGCCTGCGCCCCGCCCTGCGCCCTGCGCCACCCCTCCTTCCAGCTGACGTGGCTTCCAGTCCCACCCGGGAGCAGGGCCAGCCCATCAGTGTCGCTCAGCAAATACCCCTCAGCTCATAACAATTAGAGTAATTGCTCATGTTTATGGAGCAGAGACTACCTGTGCGCCTGGCGCCGGGCCGAGCACTTTACATTCACGGTCTTGGTTAAACCCTCATAACAATGTTATGAGGTAGTTCCAATTATTATCCTCATTTTGAAGGTGGGGAAAATTCAGGTTTGGGAGGGCTGGCCAAGGTGACGCAGGCTGCCCCCAGAGCTGGCCTCCCTCCCCGCCCTGCGCCCGGCTGGGGAGCACCTGCTGTGTGCCTCCGCCCCACGGAGCCTCGGCCCCCTCAGGCCGCCAGAACTTGTCTGTGCCACCTGTCCCGACTCAGTCCTGCTGAGTCAGGCGGGGAGAAAGGAGAGGGAGGAGAAGCCTTCCCTGCAGGCAGGCGCAGGCAGACGTGGAGGTCAAGGGAGGGCCCGGGGACCCGAGGGCGGGACCCACGCCCCTCAGAGCCCAGAGACGGGGCACAGGAAGGCCTTGGCCTCTTCTGTAAACTCCAGCTCCCAGCTCCGCCAGGCGAGGCCTGCTTTCCTGCGCCTCTCCTCCTGCTAGAGAAGCAGACTCGGCTAGGCCACGGGGACCTGTCCCGTCCTGCGTCCCCAGGACGCCTGCGCAGAGCAGCCCCCAGGACCACCCCCGCGACCAGACCTTGGGTCCTGTGCCCACAGGGACGGAGCCGGCGGCAAGCTGGGCTCCTGCCGCTGGGACTTCCGCAACCTGCCGTGCCCCTTCACGACACGGATCACATACTGGGGGCACAGGCTGCGTGTGAGTGGCCCCTCCTGCTTCTGCAGCTTCTCTGGGTGGGGGCTGGAGGGCTGGAGGGCCCAGAGCTACACAGCTGCTGTGCGAGCCCCGTGACCCCAACAGAGTCGTACCCGTGCTGCCGCACGGGGTTCCTGGCACATGCGGGCTCCTCCTCCCTGCACACACTGCTAACTCCCAGAGCACATACTTACGTGGGCTGGAGTGAGACCAGGTGAGCGTGTGTCCCTTCCCACCCCCCGTGCCATTCTGATGCCAAGCCCTGCAGCCGCCTGCAAGCTCTACTTTAGAACCAGGGGAGCCGGTAAATCAGAGATGGGGACAGTGCCCCACAGCTGGGGTCAGGGGAGAGGAGAGGGTTCTATCTGCAAGGCGCTCACTCCTCTGTACCCCTCAGGTGTCCCTGAGCAGTGGCCTCACTCCCAGTGACCTAGATGAGGTTTGCGTTGACACCGGGCCCCTGCTTTTGGCTCCTTGAGGTTTCTTTGGGGTCTCGGCAGCCACCAGCACCCTGGCAGGTGAGGGCCTTCTGGACAAGTGAGGGCAGAGAGTGGTACCTAATGATGTATCCTGCGCACACCTTCTAAACTGCTCTGGGTGTGGGGCTAGCCACTTCCTTTCTACGTGGCCTGGGAAGTCATGCACAAGCCTTCTCTGGGCCTCTGCTGCCACCGGGGGAAGTCGTGTCTGCCTTGCAGGGCTGCTGAGTCTCGAATAGGATAAGCACCAGAAGCCTTTATTCCGGTGATGGCCTCATATGTGCCCCAGCTGGGGACTGTGGGGCAAGCAGAAGAGGGCAGCCACGAGGGACATTTAAGGAACCGGAGCAAAAGGATGTAACGTCATGGAGAGTCCATGGGGAGACCCACAGCTGGAAAGCAGAATAGAACCCAAGAGTGGGAGTTTTTGAAGGCCAGGACTTTGGTCTTTAGGCTCTAGGCCCTAGGGAGCCATGGAACGTTTCTGAGGAGGAGAGTGAAATGATCAGAGCCCTGCTGAGGGGGTGGCCACTCGTGCTTGCTTCTACCAGTAGAGGCCACGCTCTGGGGCCTGAGGGTGTCAGTCTGTTGCCCTGGCTCTCGCCCAGGACTGTCCAGTTTACCCACTCACTGTGGGGCACCCACTTTGGCTCTGTGTGTGGGTCCACCCTCACCGTCCACCCCCCTGCTTGTCTGCCCCCCACACGTTTCCTATGAAGTGAGCAAGACGAAGGATAGAGCTGCCCAGATCTCCTGCCTGCCCAGAATGTAATGGGGCCTGGGGGTGAGGACTGAGCACCGAGGCCCCTGGGCGGAGGAGGGCGTCTTACCTTCCCTTCTCTCCCCCCTTTCCAGATGACCATGACATCCTGTCCTTCCTGACCTTCAGTCTGAGTGAGCCGGGTCCTAAGGTGATGCCAGCCCTGGGCCGGCGCTTCAGGGGAGAGCTAGGGGAGAGACAGCCCGGGGACCCCTCCCCATCGCAGAAGCTTCTGCTCACGTCACGGTGTTCCATACCATCATTCCAGCCTTTATCTCTACTGAGAGCTGTCTGTGTCTCTGAGCTCTGCAGCTCTGCCCAGGCCAGGCCTTATTCCGGGCTGTGCTGGGGGCCAGAGGTGACCTGGCCCCAGGCCCTGTCCTGGAGCATCTCCCAAGCTGGCTGGGGACTGTGGGAACATGAAAGAGGGGTCCTGACCAGCTAAGGGGAGCAGGGAAGGCCACCTGGAAGACAGGAGCTTGAAAAGCCGAGAGAGGTGGCTGAGTGGGGAGCAGCCCGGACAAAGGTCCGAGTCCCGAGAGAGCTGCTGGGGTGTCAGGCGGCAGCAGGAGGGAGGGGGTGGGGATGGGGCAGCCGCAGAGCCGGGCTGCAACTGTAGGGCCTCGTGGCCCAGTGAGGGAGACCCAGCTGGGGGGCTTCTTCCCTGGCTGGGATGGATGTTTGGTCCACCAGGATGGGGGCTGGGGCCCTGGGGGAAAGCTCACCTCACTGCAGGTCTCCCACGGGTTTCAGGCCTGACTTCTGTCTTATTTGTCCAGCCTCCCCGCCAGCCCCTTCTGGAGATGGAGGAGTGCCGGCTGGCAAGGCAGCTGGAAGGGCTTCAGGCGAGGCTGGCCCTCGGTACCAGGGAGGACGTGATGCCAAAGCTGAGCTCCAAAGTCCAGGAAGAAAGTAGGGACCCAGGGAGCAGGCAGGTGGGGCAGGGGCTCATTGGAGCATCACAGGACCCTCTTCCTTTCAAACCAGGAGTCTTTTAAGTAGTGGGGAGAGGAGGGCCTGAGGAGGCCCCATCTAGCAGACCCCGGGTCCCGGGACTCGGTCCTATCCCCACCCACCAAGCAGACACATCTTTTCAGGGAAGAGTCTTGGAGGCAGAAGCCTGACTTTCTGCCCACCCTCTCCAAGAAACCCCCCAAAGATAGGACCTCCTACCGCGGTGCCGCCGGCTGCCTGTCCCAGCTCTGCCCCACTCTCCAGGGGAGCGACGCTTTGGCCTGGAGGAGACGCTGGGCAGACATCGCCAGATCCTGCAGGCCCTCCAGGGTCTATCCAAACAGTTGGCCCAGGCTGAGAGGCAATGGAAGATGCAGCTGGGGTCCCTGGGCCATGCCAGGCCTGTCGGAGCCTGGGTGAGTGGCCGCCTTGGGCACCCAAGGCCCTGCCTGCAGGCCTGGAAGAGTGAGCTCCCTCAGGCACTGGGTCCCTGACACTGGGGGGGCTCCCTCTGTCCAGGAGGAGGAGCAACCGCTGTACTTGGGGACTAGTCTCCCCCAAGGCCTGGGGAGGAAGGGGGGGCAGTGCCGCAGGTGGCAGGATGGGCTGGATCTGCGAGGCCGGGGAGCGCGCAGGGGGCTAGCCCTGTGTGAGCAGGTGCCCCCGGATCCACGTGGCTGGGGCTGGGAGAGGCACTGCCGGGTACCCGGGGCCCTGGACAAGTGCCAGAAAGAGACCGGGTGCTAATTTGCATGTAGCTCCACATGTGACTTGGGTCACGTACGGATGGCTGGCTTAGTGCTCAGATGCACCCGGAGCCTCGCTTCATCGCCACTGCCCTCCTGGCTTCTCCTCGGAACAGTCATGCCCCGTGGCACGCCCAGCCTGGGCCAGAGAGCTGGATGCTCGATGCCAGGCGGGAGAGGCCAGGGGCTCCTGCGAGCTTTGCTGGGCTCTGACAGCTCGGGGCTCTCATCTGTGTCCTTGGGCCAGAGTGACTGAGGCTGGGCTGCTGGAGCGGCGGGGTGGCGACGGGGCCACACTCCCAAGGCCAGGCCGCTCTCTGACCCTACTTCCAGGCCCAGAACTCCTCCTGCCAGGTTCTACCCACCCCGGGGAGGGGCAGTCACTTCTCCAGGCCTCTCAGCGAGACAGAGGCGCAGGCACTGAGGGCTGTTGGGCACTGGCCCCATCTTGGACTGTGCCCCGAGTGGGAGTAGGTAGGAGAGGACTCGACTGGGCCTCTGCTGCCTCCAGGGGCAGAACCACTTCTGCAGAGGGCAGAGAGCCTATGACCCTCCAGGGTAAGCGGTTTGAGAGGAGGGAAGTCCAGAAGCCCAGCTGGACGGGGGATAAATGTCCAAAGTGAGCAGGGGCCAGGTAAGCTGGTAAGGCCTTCCAGAAGGAAGAGGGCTCCAGTGTCCCTGGGGAAGAGGGATTCTGAGAAGAGAGGGGCTGGGCCCTGGGCCCCAGAGAACAGGGTGGCACTCCCAAGGTCTGCGCCCTGCTCCACAGACAGAGGACTCTGCTCCAGAACTTGCAAGAGATAAGGTAAGGGCATCTGCGAGGAGGGGCAGAGAAGTCCCGCTCCACCCACGTGCTCAGCCTCAAGTTCCTCCACGGGTTCCCTAGTCCTCTCCTCACTTCCTGAGCACCCAGCACAAAGTCTGGCGCACAGGGAGGGGCTGGGGCACCGTTAGGTTTGTTGAGTTGACTTGAACTTAATTGACTCAAGTTTAAAGTTTTGAAATTCCTAGTTTAAAAGTAATTCTCCCTGGGAGGGGGCCCTCATGAGAGCCCCTATCAGACACCCCACCTCCCCAGGGAGGGTTGAATCTGAGCCCTCCTTCAGCGCCTGGAAGGAGGCCGTGCTTTGATGACATGCTTGGAGCAACCACAACCAAGATCAGGCCTAGCAGGAGGGGGCAGTCCCTGTGTTCTTTGTGCCTCCACCAGCCCCCCAACATCCCACTTTGGGCCAAGCCTCAGGGGCTCCCCACAGAGCTCTGTGGACAGGAAGGTCACCTTGATGCCACGGAGGAGGAAAGCTTCAGGCTGGATGCTGGATTCTGGGTCCCTTACATCTAGACACTTGAGGGTGGGAGGATGGGAAAGGGAAGAGGAACTAAGCCCCTGGGGGCTGGGGATGGAAAGCAGAGCCCAGGGAGCCTAGAGTCGAGAGAGGCAACTTTACGGAGAACTTTCTGGGAGCTAGAACTGTCTGAGGACACAGGAATGTTTGGGGGAAGAAACCAGCCCCTGAGAAGGGGCCCTATAGATGGTGCCTGTTCCCTACCAGGTGCTGCAATCAGGGATTAGGGAGGAATCAGGGAGGAAGGGTTAGGAGGTTTGGGTACAACCAGAAGGGATAATGAGTCCCCCTCATCCCCCAGGGATGCAGCTGCCCGCGTGGCCTCAAGAGCCCAGCTCTTCTATCTGCCTGTGGGCACCAAGCATCATTTCTTAGAGCTGGCCCAGATCCTGAGCCTCCTGCAGAAGGACATTCAAAGCCCACTGGTGAGGGGGAAGGTAGGGATACCATGAGGCCCCCGCCCTTAAGGCCCAGCCCCTGTGCATCCCCAGGTCCTCCTGCCTTTGGGCTCCCTTCCTAGGACTGCTGGCAAGCACATCTGTGTTGGGGTCTGGACGTGTCTGTGATGGAGATTTTACCTTCTCTCTGCCCTCTCTGCTCTCTGGAGGGTTCCAGAGACTCTCGATGCCAGCAGAACCCTGGGGACCATTTGGTCCAACCCCCTCAGTGACCAGAAGTGAAATGGGAGTGCTCAGAGCTTGGTGGTGAAGCCCTCTCTTCCTGGTGCCCCTGCCCTGTCTTGCTTTTACATTTGCCCTCACCGTCTGTCTTTTGCTCTCTACTTCTCTCTTTCTCATCTCTAGAGCCTTTCAGAGCCCCGATGATCCCAGGCCCTAGGCCTTCCCAGCTGTTCCCACAGATGGGCCATGGGAACTTGGGTGGGGGAAGCTGCTTTGTACCCTCACCCTCTCCAAATTCTCTGGAGATGACAGCCAGGGTGTCCCATGCTTGGGAAAGGAAGTAGAGCCCACACAGATGGCCCAGATTCCAGGTCCCCTCTTTCCTTTTGGGTAAGAAGCTGATACAGGACTTTAAAATGTCCCCTTTCGGGATCCCTGGGTGGCGCAGTGGTTTAGCGCCTGCCTTTGGCCCGGGGCGCGATCCTGGAGACCCGGGATCGAATCCCACATCGGGCTCCCGGTGCATGGAGCCTGCTTCTCCCCCTGCCTGTGTCTCTGCCTCTCTCTCTCTCTCTCTCTCTCTCTCTCTCTCTGTGACTATCATAAATAAATAAATAAAAATTAAAAAAAAACATTTTAAAATGTCCCCTTTCAGAAAGCAGCAGCCAAGCCCCCCTGCTCACCTTGCCAAGCCCCGGGGGCCTCCTCGTGCCTGCAGCCTGGCATCTTTCTGCTCTTCCTCCTCATTCAGACTCTAGGCTTCTTTTGTTACGAGTACTTCAGGTGGGTCTTCCCACGGGTAAGACATCCTACACCTACCTGGCACCTCTTAATTCTGGGTCAGAGCCACCCGACTTGAGAGGTGGGGCACTGGGGCCCAGGGGAATGTGCCTGGCCTGACAACTGCCAAGGAGCAGCACCTGGGCCAAGACCCATTTTTCTGATAGGCTCTACTGGTCACCTGCCCAACTGCTGGCCCCATCTAAGCCCCTCCCTCACAGAAGTCACTTGCTGGTGTGAGAAACTGATGAGTAACTGGTAGTTATGTGGTCGGTGCCATGATGGCAGGAAGCTCGGGGCTATGACAGTATAGGAATAAAGCCCTTGACCCAGCTTGGGCAGATAGAGGAATTGACCTGGAAGGGATGTTGGATATGGGTCGTCAAGGTGACTAGAAGGTTTCCAGCCTGTCAAGATAAGTAAAGGCATCAGTGCAGAGGAACAGCATGAGAAGAGCATGGAAGCATGAAAAAGAAAGCACAATATTCTGGAAGAAAAGTGACTCACTCAGTACTGTCAAAGCAGGGTGGGACCAGTTTGTGAAACCGAATGAACGGGATTTAAAAGGTGGGGGGAAGTCACTAATTCTGCTTGGTGGGTGTTTGTTGAAGGAATGAAACATTTAGAGATAGAGAAGGTGCTAAGGTGCTCAGAAGTGGTACTGACAGTCCTTATTGATGGAATGTCAAGACAAGAAGAATCAGGGTGGTCTGGGGTGGTCCTGGAGGAGAAGTGAAGTGTGCTGAGCTTTAAAAAGCAGAGAAGAGACAGCCTCCAGGTGAGAACAGCAAAGGTACAAAGTGGAAATGATGACAACCTTATGCATTAGGTAGGCTTATAATGGTGGCCATAAGGCTGGAGCCACCTGGACAGACCTTGAATGCCAGGGGAAGAATGTGGTCCTGATGGGGCAGGCCAAGGGAGCCACGGAAGGTCCTAGAAAAGGGGTGGAGAGATGCTAGAGAGGTGAGTCTGGAGCCTGGTCTCAAGAGCCCCAAAGGCAGAAATCCAAGTAATCTTCTTCTTTCTTTGACAATAGGCGGGAGCTGGACAAGAGCCTTCAGGACTGTTTGTCCACAGGCAGCCATCCATGTCCTGCACCACACGTCCCTGGGGCCCTGGGGGTTCTGAGGAGGCAGCCTCTCTCCCCCAGTATGCGTGCACGACTCACCTGAAAGCCCGGAAGGAGGTGGATGGTGTCTAGGGGGGAGACAACTTGGCCAGTACCCTCTCCTTCTGGGTGCCCAGCTCCTGCTCACACCTTAGCTTTGGGGAAGCTCCAATCTTATTAAAAGTGATTTACATCTCTCCATGCTTTGACATGCTCATTGACCTTCTGGCTTCACCTTACTTTCTGAAGGCTTCCACTTTCTCCAGACAGGTACCTGGACAGTGAGCTCCAAGCAAGTAAGGAGGTCAAGGAATGGCTTCATTGCCAAAAGACCAAGATACCCCACGAGCCTTGAACCCCGGACAATGGGGGGAGAGGAAATCACAACCGGGTATAATTCTATCCCCAAATTCACCCAGCACAAAGAGTGGTACCTCCAGGTGTCCTTCCTGGCTTAGCCAAGCCAGCATCACCATGAACAACCTTTTCCCTGCCACTTCCTGCAGCTCTAGGGGTCAGCGGGGCTGGCATGGGAGGGAGGCAACCCATGGTGCTCGCTTTGGCAGCACACACACTAAAACGAGGCAACCCACGGAGATGTAATTGGGATTCCCCCTCTCTGGTCTCCCTCCCTTTCCTGGCGTCCACCTCTCTGGGCAGCTGCTGGGGCAGCGGGTTGGGGACAATGGGGCAGAGCCCAGGGCTGGATCTTTGCCCCTTGCTGCCACTTGGATCAGCCAGCTGAGATCCTGGCTATCAGGGACTCAGAGGAGGAAGTGAGGGGAGAGAGGGGAGCAGAGCTCCGGGCGCCTCCGTGTGCCCCAGTCCCAGGGAGACCCCACCCCCGCGGCCCTAATCCGCTGTCAGCGATGCCCAGGCGGAGCTTGGCGTGGAAGGAGGCACGTGGGGGAGGCGGGAGTGCGGAGCGGGCACGTGGTGCAGCCTCCTCAGCCCCGTGCATGCCCCCCGCCCCCCGTGAGGAGGGGTTTGGGGAGGCGGGGGCTGGAGGCTGGAGCGCGGGGCCCCGCCGGGCCGGCGGCAGGAGCTGTCCGCGAGCCCTAGTGCTGAAGTCGGTGCGGACGTGCCCGGCTCCTGGCGCCCGTGCCAGGGCCAGCGGGGACCATGGCGTTCATGGTGAAGACTATGGTGGGCGGCCAGCTGAAGAACCTCACCGGGAGCCTGGGGGGCGGCGAGGACAAGGGGGACGGGGACAAATCGGCCGCCGAAGCGCAGGGCATGAGCCGAGAAGAGTATGAGGAGTATCAGAAGCAACTGGTGGAAGAGAAGTGAGTGGGATCCCTTCCTGGCGCCGACGACCTTCCCCCCGAACCCCCTCCAGCCACTTGACCCACCTCTAGGGCGGTTTCAGACACCGAATCCCCTTACCCTACTTTTCTAGATGCGGTAAGAGGCTGGGATGCGCTTTCTAGGCTGTCCCCACAGCTGCCCTATCTTAAACCCGGACCCCGTCCCAGCCTCGCACTATGGGCAGAGGGAGTGGGAGCAGGGGCAGTAGGGACCTGGGATGGGGTGGGGGCCCGTGCATTTCTGACGAAACGAGTAATCCCTTAATCCGATCTGGTCCTAGCCGTCTGTCCGCATCTTCCAACTGGAGCTCCTCTGAGTCTGAGATTCTGAGAAAAGCGATGCAGCTGAGGCAGCTCAGAGTTAAGGAGACAGGTCTTGAGATAGGGCGCTCATAGATATTGAGACTCAACGTCGACTGTGTGCAGGCAGTGCTGGGGCCGAGAGGCATCTGAGGCTGCTTAGGTTCAGATCCAGTTTTGCTTTGTTTTGTTTAGCTGGGTGACTTTTGACCAGTTACTTAAACTAAACCTTTCTGTGCCTCAGTTTCCTCCTCTGTAACACGGGGATGGCAACCATAAAACATGCCCTATATATTTTTTAAGATTAAATTATTTAACGCATATAAACCACATAGCACAGTGCCTGGCACATGGTAAACCATTAAATATTAGCTATTATTTTGCTTAATCCTGATAATAGTTTTTTTTTTAAGATTTTATTTATTTATTCATGAGAGACACACAGAGAGAGGCAGAGACACAGGCAGAGGGAGAAGCAGGCTCCATGCAGGAAGCCTGATGTGGGACTTGATCCTGGGACTCCAGGATCACGACCTGGGCCAAAGGCAGGCGCTAAACCGTTGAGCCACCCAGAGATCCCCCTGATAATAGTTTTGTGAGTGGCAAAGGAGAAAAATAAGTGATATATCAAAAGTGGTAATGCAGCCAGGACGCAAAACCAAGTGTGTCCCGAGTACTTGCCCTCACACAACACAATCTGTCAGGAAGGGAAAAGACCGACGGGGTTGGAGGCCTCGAGGGACACATATTAGGGTCTGCAGAGCAAGCCACACTGGCTGACACTCCCGCCCCGATAGCCCAGTGTGGCAGGTGCAGAGATAACAACGGGCCGCGATGATGGGGGGGAGAGGCAGCAAAGCCTAACCGAGGTCCACCTCGGGGTGCACAGAGACCCCTGCATCCCTTCCCTCACAGACCCCACCCATTCTCCGGGCCCTTGAGATGACTGCACCCTGGTGCCCCCCCCCCCCGCAGGATGGAGCGGGACGCGCAGTTCACACAGAGGAAGGCTGAGCGGGCCACGCTGCGGAGCCACTTCCGAGATAAATATCGGCTGCCCAAGGTAAGTTTAAGAGCTGGGCTGGTAGGCACATGGGGACCGTGAGCATGGGGCTCCCCACTCTTTCTCCCCACTCTGGGCACCGCAACTCTCAGCTCCTGAAACTCACGGAGTTCTTGGTTGGACCTTTCCTTCCCTAACCCAGAGGCTGGGGCTTGGTGCTGAGGGGGGAAGCCCAGGTTTGTGTTTCTGGAGCCGGTTCAGGCTCCTTCTCTCCCCCATGTGTCCCTCCCCCAAGCCCTAGTCAGGCCCAGGCAGAAATGGAAGGCAGTAGATTTTACCACAAGGCTGAGTACAGTCGAAGCTCCTGAATACCCAGGGAGGGGGGTGGTGTAGAGACTGCGGCACCCTCTGTGTGCCAGGCACTCGGCCTTCGTGCCTTTGTGTAACCCCTCAGTAGCGCTTCCAGGTAGCCGTTGCTCACACTACAAATCAGGAGACTGAGGCTCAGAGAGATTAAGGGACTTGAAAGGCCACACAGCCAGCTAGGGTTGGAGCTGGGGTCAGAGCTCAAGCCTGTGAGTGCTGAACCTCAGTTTACTGCAGGACCTGTGGCTGCCTTCCAGGGCATGGAGTCTGTCTGCAGAGAGGAGAATGCCCCTTGGTTGGCCAGGCAGCCAGGAGGCTATCTTCCATAGGCAGTGCAGCACTAGGTTGGGCATGTAAGTGTTGCCTAAGGAGGAAACTGAGGCACAGGCTATTCCCAGTGCCCAGAAGCTTCCACCTGAATTGCAAGACCATACATTTGAACATCACATTCACTCATTCACCAGGTGTTTCCTGATCCCCTGGCTGCCTCTGACTCTCCACAGGGCACCAGTCTTCTGAAAATCTCTCAGAGAAGGAAAAAAACAAAAAACAGTCCAGAGAACCTGGAAAGCTACTGAGTTAAAACTCAGCTAGGAATGGAGGCATTGCTCAAATGCCTGCATCGAGCATATTAAAAGACACAACTCCTGCCATCAGGAAACTGAGTCTAATAGAAGAGGGAAGACGTGGCTGTAACTGAGTAGGATATAAAGTGGAAAGTGCCAGGGTCCCCAAAGGGATAGAGAAGTGCAGTGGCAACCAGTAGGTGTTGGGCAGAGAGCTCAGATATTGGAATCCATGATGTAGGTTTTTTTTTTTTTAAGATTTTATTTATTTGAGAGAGAAAGTGCATGAGTGGAAAAGGCCTCAGTTTCCTTGTTTGTAAAATCGATAACAATACCTACCTCACAGGGTTATTTTGAATGTCAGCCATACGATAGGCACTTGATAAACGGTACCCATCACTATGACCAGTACACCCTCCAGTGTAGGTAATGATAGCCTATGACTTTGCTGACTGGGACAGTTTGACTCCTAAGCATTTTCATTTTGCTTTATTCACTATGCTAGTGTCTTCAGTATCTTAGAGCGAAGTTAAGCGGTATAAAAGTGCAAGGTGTCCATGTCCCAGTGTCAAAAGCTTGACCCTGGGATGTAGGGGTGGGGACTGAACTCACTGGAACATGTGGCTCAAGAATCCTGGGGTCTGGAGCCCAGTCCAGGCCTCCTCCCTGTCCCTTCAACTCTGGGTCTTCCTGGATCTCCAGCCCCACTCCACCTCTTCCCCTCTTCCCTTCAGAATGAGACAGATGAGAGCCAGATTCAGATGGCAGGTGGAGACGTGGAGCTGCCACGGGAGCTGGCCAAGATGATTGAGGAGGACACAGAGGAGGAGGAGGAGAGGGCCTCCGTCCTTGGGCAGTTGGCCAGTCTCCCTGGCTTGGACATCGGCTCACTCAAGGACAAGGCCCAGACCACATTGGGAGACCTCAAACAATCAGCTGAGAAGTGCCACGTCATGTGACTACTTCCCTGGGGGTTGCCCATTGGGGTGACCACAGGGCTGGGCCCACATGAGGGCTGAGAACATGTCTCAATGTCCAGGGACCCACACCCCATCTCAGTTTTATTTCCCCCTGTCCCCTGCTAGCTTGGGACCTTCTCTTCCATGGCCCAAGCCTGCCTTCTGGTCTATCCCTTCCACTGGGGCCAAAGTCCCCATTCCTCACCCTTTCCCTCAGGAACCAATCTCTCTACTCAGCCTGGAGAGGCCTCCTAAGATTGTAGGAATAGGCCCCTTTCCCTCTGCCCATGGCCCCAAGTTCGTGCACACAGGAACACCCATCGAGACACACAGAAATGGAAACCATAGCATGTGCAGAAGCATACGCCACAGATGAATCCTGGCACACACAGACACACGCACACAGGCCAGCCCCTCTAGACACCAACACTCAGATATGCTTAGAGAGGTCCTTAGGCAGACACCCTCAGTAGACAAGAGGCCCAGATTTGAGTCTCCACATTCACTCTCCTTGAAAGCCTCTGCTCTTTCTGGGTCTCACTGCATCATCTCTAAAATGAGAATGGACTAGGCAATTTCTAAGACTCTTTCTGGCTTGGCCTCTGGGCCCTCGGAGCCAACCCCCCACTCCTCCTTGGGCACGACAACAGCTGCAGCCGTAGCTGCCAGCGGCTGCCATTGTGCCATGGGCTCTGGCTCTCGGGAGCTGAGGGGTGCTGTGTGAGGGGCCGAGTGCCAAGGATGAAGCTGGCACTGAAGTGGCTCCAGGCCTTCTCTGGACCCAGGCCCAGGCAATTTCTGTTCTGTTCCCGTAGAACTCTCTCTGGATTCCATAGCTGGATCTCCTCTGTGAGCTTTGTGAAAAATAAAAATTTGAAATGATGTACCGTCCTCCCACTTCTTATAAACCTCCAGGAACCGTGGGGTTCACCACCCTCCTCACCTATAGCTTCATAGCAACGCCAGCCTCTATAAAATGCTCAAGCTCAACCCTCTCGGGGCCCTGGGCAAGGGCAGGTCCCGGCACTGACCAAGTACCGGGTGCAGCCTGGGGCGGGATGGAACAGGTCTGGGCTTTGAGGAGGGTGGGGGTGCACGTGGAGAAGGCTGGGCCTCCGGGCCATTCCTTGGAACCCCAGGAGGGTCTCTGGCCAATCACAGCTGCCTCTGGCACCTGCACCTGTACCCCTTCTCACCTTGGAGATGGGAGGTATAACAAAGAGAAGGCAAGGCAAGCGCCTTCGGGTCCTGGCACTGCTGTGTGACTTTGAGCAGCTCCTTTCCCCTCTAAGAGCCTCTTTTTCCTGCTGTGAAATGAAGAACTACCCCCTCCCTAAATAATAATGTTTCAAAGGATGACAGCTCGGAAAGCCTTTGGCACATGGTAAACCATCAATAAATGACAACTGACTCCTTAAAACAAACAAACAAAACCAAAGAGCACAAATCTCATCCTCCTTACCTGTGGGGGGTCCCAGAAACCAGCCACAAGCAGCCTCCCCCCCACACCCGGCCCTGAGCAGCAACAAGGTGCCGCGGGCTCCCCCCGGGTGTCCCTGCTTGGCACCAGCCTGGGAGGAAGCCCGCCACGACGTCTAGGCCAACGGCCATATGGGGGGTGGTTTCAAGGGCAAAGTTTCCATTAGGCCTCCCCTTGTAAAACAAGAACAAGAAACATAAAGCCTGTTCAGTAGGTAATGTGGGGAGAGACAGCGGTAGGGAGAGAAGAACGGGAGGATGGGGAATTCAGGGGGTGACGGCGGGGAGGGGCAGGCCGAGGACAGGCCGCTAGGGTATCTCTGGGGCCGGGGCCGGGCCTCTGAGCGGCTCCCGGGCTGCCCCCCCCATGAACCCCACTGCCCTGACCTTCCCGGAGCTGGCGGAGACCCAGGCTGGGGCTGTAGGCTGCCTGGGGGGCGAGGGCCTTCTCGTCAGCAGCAGCGCCCGTGTCAGCGCTCTCCCCCCGGGGCCCTTCGGCCTAATGGGATCCGACAGCCGCCTTTCCCCTCAGTGGTTTGCAGGACCCAGCACACACAGGCAGAGGGGCCGGCTCTGGGGGGCTGGGGTCACCCCTCGCGGAAGCCTCACGAAGCGAGCGAGTGGGGGGCCCTGAGCCCCCTCACTGGGTTCCTCCCCGTGCCTGGGAACCCCAGGAAACCCTGACCTGCGTGTCCCTGAAACGGGGGTGGGGGGGCTCCCGGGCAAAAGGCAGCGGCTCTGGGGCCCCGGGCCGGGGTGGGCACAGAGGACATGCTGAGGGGCCTCGGGCTCTGCTGGCCTCTCCCCTCCTCCTCCCTTCATCCCCACCGCCCCCCCCAGCTTCTCCGTCAGCCCGTCCTTCTCACTGGTGCCCTCCCGGTTTGTGCCTCATCCCTGGCCCCTACCTGCCCTGCACGGAACCCTCAGTGGGGGGCTCCTCCGTGCTGCCCCCCCAGGCCCTCTACTCTCTGTCCCCCCCTGGCCTAGGCACACAGCCACTTGGCCCCGGGACTGGTCCACCCACCTGCTGTGATGTGAAGGCCACAGAGAGAGCCACCGACCCCTTCCCCTTTCAGAGCAATTAAAACCCTGCCATTGGGGCAGAGTAGCTTAGGGGAAGCCGGTTACCCACTGGGCCTCTCACTTCTCGCCTCTTGTCCTCCTCCCCTTCTCGTGCTGGGCTGGCAGTCCGAGGGTACAGGTATTGAAGGGGGACGAGACAGCCCTGCAGCCGGGCCCCCGCCACCCTTCCTGGAAGAGAGGGACGACAGGTGGCCGGCCTGGGCCCCCAGCCCCACCCGACTCTCTGGCCCTGTAACACAGGCGATTTGGGGAAGACGGGTGACCCTTCCCCTAGTCCGGTTCCCTTCCTCCGCTCCCTTCCCACCCGCCCAGCTCAGGCCTGCTTCTCAGACGGGTACAGAGGGAAGCAGTGACCTCTGGAGGCGGCAGGTCCCCAGGGAAGAGCTGGGAGGGTGATGGGGTTTGGAGTCCAGAGGACCTCCCCTCCCCCCACTGGCCAGATGGGCCCCCCTCGGCCAGGGAGGCCCGTGCTGGGGACACCGGGGGGAGCGTTTGCTTGCTCAGCCTGAGATGCGGGTGGGCCTATTGGGTCTGGGGTGGGGAGCCGTGTGAGGGCCGGGGGTGGGGGGCAGCGGCACGGGAGCTGCTGCCCTGCCCTGGCCCCAGGCCTGCCCAGCACAGCCGGTCCCAGAACCCGTGGGGCAAGGTGCGGGGAGAGCAAGGGAGCTGGGGAGGCCCGATCCGGGGATCCGGGGGAGCCTTGGTGTGGAGGCCACTGCAGCCGTGATTAGCAGGAACCGTGCCTTGGGGTGTGTGTGTGTGCGTGTGTGTGTGTGTGTGTGTGTGTGTGAGCGTGCCTACTCCAGAGTGTCGGTCTGTCCAGGTGGGGCCTGCGCGGGTCTGTGAACCTGAACGTGGCTGTGGTAGTCCTGTGTGTCTGTTGCCTATGGCCTGTTAGTGTCTGTTAGTGGGATTTCTCGAGTGTGGGTACGAGTCACCCCAGAGAAAGCGATGTGCCTCCTCCCTCCCGTGATTGGGCCACTTCGCACGCGCGTGGGGGCAGGGACAGCAGCTGGCTTCTGGGAACACGGGGACAGGCGCTGTCCTAGATGACCTCCCGTGGGAACCACATCTTCCTACTTAGCTGGGCACAGGGACACCTCAGTCTGCTCCAGCGGCGGCCTGTCCGCTTCTCCCGGGGCCCTGGGGAGACAGAGGGACCCAGGCCAGGGGCTCCTGCAGCCTGGCCTCGCGCTGGCTCCGGGTTGGGGGGCTGAGTGACAGCGGGAGGACAGGCTGGCTGGCGCACGCAGACGCCGGGCTGTGTCTGTCCCTCTTTGTGCACTTTTGAAGTGTTAAAGGTGAGAGTTTCCAACTCTCACTCTCAGGAGGAAACACATATTTTTTAAAAACCAGTTTAGGGCAGCCTGGGTGGCTCTGCGGCTTAGCGCCGCCTTCGGTCCAGGGCGTGACCCCGGGGTCCCGGGATCGGGATCGAGTCCCACGTCAGGCACCCTGCAGGGAGCCTGCTTCTCCCTCTGCCTGTGTCTCTGCCTCTCTCTGTATCTCTAATAAATAAATAAAATCTTGAAAAAATAAAAATAAAAACCAGTTTAGCTTATTTCCCATAGGTCTTTGCCATTCGAAGAGAATCCTGAAGCGCAAGCCCCACCTCGTCGGGCTGGGCTGCCTCCTTCCTCGGCAGGTGGCTCGGACACAGGGCCAGCCACCTACACGTTCCGCCCGGGGAGGGCCCTTCCCCAGGGCCTCCTCCACTGGCCTCGGCCTCCCAGGCCTTTCCGGTACCTGGCTGGGCCTCTCCTCCCCACGGACGCCCGCACGCAGCCTCAGGCTCTTGTCGGGCACAGCCCATCAGCTGGTACACATCAACAGCTGGGTCGGCAGGCCAAGCCTCTGCCCCGGGATCCTTCTGTTCAACGGGCCTTTCGGCCCCATCCTCCCTCCTTCCCACTCTCCCTCCCACCCACCCACCCTGAGCCCATTCTCCCTCCTTTCCCTCATTTTTCTCACTGAGGCTTTCTTGTGCGGCCCACTGCCGGAGATTAAGTACATTCTTCTCCCTAAATCTGAAAATGAGATTTTGTTGAACTTAGGTCAGGCTCCTATATAGGAGGTCGTTTAATCCTTACAAAGCACTACAGACACATCTTCATTTCCCCGAGAAACTAGCTCATCCATGGGTCCCAAGCTTCAAGGGCCAGCGGGCAGGGCCAAGAGCCTCGCCACGCCTCTGCCCACTGCTCCCCACTGCCCCCGACCGAGGCTTCCGGGGAATCAGGTCCCAGCTGGTTTCCTTCCTGTAAAGGAAGCCCATTCCTGCCCACTCTGAAGGCCTAGGGAACTGCTGCCTTGGTTGCTGCCCCAGGGGATGGACTCCTGCTCCCCTCAGTCCCCAAAGATGCTCCTGAATGCCGTTCCCATCGACACCTGGGAGTGGGAGGGCAGGCTGCCGGAAACTGCTTCAGCCCAGGGTCCTGGGGAGCTGGGCTTGAGCACTAGACCCCCGAGAGGATGCCCTTTCCCTGGGTCTGGCTCACTGCTCACTCACAAGGCCAGGGGGAGAGGGGATGGCGAGGCCGGGAGATCCTGTCTGGGGCCTTCCCCTGCCCTCCCTCAGGTTCCCCAGCTTTTCCTGGGGCCCCTCCAGCCCCAGTGAACAGGGGCTGCCTCTCTTTTTTTTCCCAGGGCAAGAAGAGAAGCACAAGTTCAGAAAATAATTTAATAAACAACGAATTATATTCTTTACACCTAGCCTCCTGCAAGGAAGACACCTCTTGCCCTAGGAGGCACTAAAGGGCACAAAGGTCAGAGATCACCAGCACCCTTGTGGACTTTTTTTTTAAAAGAACCCCCAAAGAACTCCACGTGTATACATTTTTCTCCAGATTAAAGTCACTGCTGTCCTCTTAAAAGCCTACGTGGGGAGCTGAGGAGGTATTCACAGCCCCATTGTAGAGCTGGGGAGACTCAGTCCAGAAAAGGGGAAGGGACGTGCACAGGGTCACACACTGGAGTAGCAGCAAGGGCAGACCCAGAACCAGGTTTCCTGGGTTGCTAGCTCCTCTGCAGCCGGATGGGTCAGGCACCCCCATGCCTCCCCCTTCCAGGCCGGGACCAGCTCTGTGGCAAGTAGGGGCGAAGGCTAAAGGCTAAGGACCGCTCTCCTTGTGCCCCCTGGGCCAGAGCGGGAACAAGAAGGCATGGCCAAGCCTTGGTCCCACCTCTGCAAAGTATATTATCTTCAGGTCTGAGGGATTGTCTTAAACTATCGAGAGGGCGGCAGGTGTCAGCTCCCAGGAAACCTGGTGAGCTCTGTGGGGTTGAGTGCCCAGTGCGGGGTGGGTGGTCCCTGAGGGGTCTGGGGGTGCCCCATTCCAGTGCCAGGAGGGAGGGAGTTGTGGTAAGGGTTGCCGGGAAGGACAGGGTGGGCCCAGGGCACAGCTGTCTGCTGACAGGGAAGAGCCAGAGGAGAAGCACCCTGCAGAGGGCCCCCTGCCCTGTTCTCAGAGCAAGGCCAGGGGCTCGGGGCCCCCAAACTGACAGGCTCAGGATCCAGCAGTCACTAAATCACAGAAGTCACGCAGAGGAAAGTCTTCTCCCAGAGTCCTGCTCCCCTTCCCCCACGGGCCAAGGCCCAGCACTCCCCACCAGGGGACACAGGCCATCAGGCCACCTGGGAAGTGCCAAGTATCCTGGGGGTGTGTGTCTTAGAGCTGCCCATGCCGGAAGCCTGCTCTGTAGCTTTGCAGGGGGCCACAGGATCCTGGGCATCGGTCCAGGTGTGTCCGCAGCGATGGCTGGCTTGTGGTCATCCGGTCATCCTTCTGGGGTCACTGCAGGGTGCACGCTGCGGGGAGGAAGGGGGAAAGCTAGCCTCAAGTCTCTGGCAGAGAGGCAGAATTTGGGGCTGCCCCCAGCCCTTCCGAGCCCAGGGCAGGACTCACAGGTACGAACGGACTCGGACAGTCCCTCCTTGTCCAGGGTCTCGGCTGCCCAGCGAGACTCCCTCATCTGTGGGGCATACAGGCAGCCCAGGGGTGAGGGGGAGCCAGGCGGGCCTGGGCCCCACCGAGCAGCCCCTGAGTAAGTGACGGCCTGAGGGCAAATGACAGAGAGGCAATGGGGAGACTCCAGGACAGGTGGGAGGGCGGGACAGGCCAGGGGCGCTGGGGCGGACAGCCGCAGGCAGACAGGGCCAGAACCCAGACGTGCCCACCTTGACCTGCTCCTTCAGGTATTCGGCTCGAGCCATGAGGTTCTGAACCTGCCACGGGAAGACATACTCAGGGGTGTGGGCCGGAGGGGCCTGAAAACTGCTTTCCTCCTCACTGCAGATGCCCTCCAGAACCCTACAGCCAACCCGAGCCTCCTCCCCCTGAGCTTGGTCTCCGCTCCCTTCTCCAGGAGGCTGATGCCCCTGAAGCAGCGCAGCCCACTTTCCCAGACCCCTGGCACCCAAACCCCTGAAGGAGCGCACAGGGCCACTGTGAGGTGTGACTCCCAGATGTGGAACACCCTGAGGGAAGCTGGGGAGGTCCCCCAACACGGGGGCAGGGGGAGAGGCAGGGAGGAAGCTTCCCGACCCTCCCAATCCCAGTGGGCACCTCAGTGTGAAGCAGCTCCCGCCTCCGGCCTGTGGGCTCCGCTACAAAGAGAGGGAGGGCACGCGGTGAGGGCTGGGCAGCCCGGGCTCGGGGCAACCACGGGGCGGCAACCACAGGGCCTCACCTGCCAGCAGCACCAGCAACTCCCCCAGGGCGCGCTGGTACAGGTCCAGGGCATCCTGCTCCCCACCAGTCTCCTCCTCCTACAGCCACAGACACACCGGGTTGCTCAGGGTCATGCCCAGGATGCTTCCTGCCCCACCCGGATCCTTGGCACTGGATACAGACCTTGGCCATGGCAGCCGAAGCCACTTCCAGGGCCGCAAGGAGCCGAGGTTTGTCCCGGGCCATCTCTGGGGGGAGGGCAAAGGCTCCGGGTGAGGGGCGGCCTGGGTTTCATCTCAGGGAGCCTACCCCACGCTGCCGCCCCTCCTGCTGGAGGAAAAGGGCAGGGGCCGAGGCCAGGAACCAGGCCTACCTCTGAGCAGGTCTTGTGCAGAGGTCCCCTGCCTCAGCAGGGCCTGATTGGAGGACGAGACGATGGCTTTGAGCTCCTCAGCCCGGGACACGTACTGCCCCACCTGCAGGTGGTGAGAAGCTGAGGAGAGGCTGTCCCCCCAGCCCCACCCCCGCCTCACCCGCACCCACCTCCCAAGTTCTCCCTCCATATCCCTGGTGGCTGCCCCAAGCTGTGACGTCCGTTCGGGGGCTGCGGCGGCAGGCCTGGGGCTCCCTGGGAGAGCCTGCCTCTCAGCTGCAGGAGAGCCAGGCTGTGGAGATCCCAGGATGGCGCCCGTTTCCTTTGGGAGACGCCCTCACCCACCTTTGCCTTGATCGCCTCCTTCCGCTGGGCATCCACTTCGTCTGCAGAGAGCGGGGGTTATGTGAGGAGTGCCCCGCCGCGCCCTAAATCCTCTGGAATCCTCAAAAGGACCCAGCGTCACGTTTACCCTCCACAAAATCCTGGGGGGCAGGGGGGCTGCCTCTGGCGCCCACCCGGTGGAGCCGCGGCCGCCCCACCACTGCTGACCCGGCCCCGCGCACTCACAGTGCAGCGCGGGCACAAAGAAGTCCAGGGCTTTGCAGTAGAGCGATAAGGCGGCTGCGGCGTCCCCGTCCTGGTCCTTCTTCACAGCCTGCACCACCAGGGCGGTCTGGGGGACAGGAAGATCAGGAGTCAGGCCACCCCCATGCCCACCCTGAACAGAGAAGGGCAGATCCTCCGTTCACCGCCTAACGGGGCTGCTGAGCACCCCACCCCCGCCCTCATCCCACCCCGTCCTGCTGGCCTGCGTACTGCTCGTGCCAGGCTCTCCCCACTGGGCATGTGCTCCAGGTCCACCCAGGGGTGGGCAAAGAAGTCCTGGAAGGAGATGCGACGGTTGGGGTCCCGCTCCAGGAGCCGCTGCAGCAGGTCCCGGCAGTCTCGGGAGAGTGGGGGCCGCAGAGGGAGCTGCGGGGTGGGGAGACCCATCACGCGGGGCTCTAGCACCTCAGCCCCCAGCCCACGTCCCTGTCAGGACCTCCTGGTCTGGGGACGCCCCAGAGGTCCACCTGTGCAGGTGGAGAACCCAAGCCTCGGGAAGAACAGTGACAGGACGAGGTGATGGAGCCGGTGGAGGGCCATGCCCTCACCAGAAGCCTTGGTGTCGCAGAACCCTGGTTATGGGTCCTTCTCCCCTCCCTGGATCACTCCTGGGAAAGCTGGGCCTGGCCTGCTCTGCTCTTCTCCCCCAGGGACCCGCACAATAATCGGGGGATGGGGAGGGCAGGCCCTCTGCTCCCTGCGGTGAGCCGGTCTGGGCTCCCAGAACCCTAAGCCTCCACCTCCCCTCTGGAGCTTATCCCCGCACACAGGGCCGCCCAGAGCCCATGCCCCGGGCTGTGCAGGTGGCAGTGAGGGCTCTAATCTCAGGGCCGGGCAGGTTGCCAAGGCCCTCCAACACGTACCTCGATCACCCGGTTGCTCCGGATCTTCTCTTCCAGCTCCGTGAATGACCTGGAGGCAAAGGGGGGCTGCCCGAAGAGGGCTTCTGTGGAAGGGAGGCAGAGGGCAGGCTGGGGGGGGACAGGGTCAAGCCTGGCCCGGCCCACTCCTGGGGGCGGTGGGGGGACCCGCAGGGTCACGTGGGTTAGCACCCTTCAGGAGTGGCCCGGTGAGGCCTTCCCTGAGGATACGCGGTAGAGGCCCCAGGTTGGGGCCAGGGCTCTCACCATACAGGATGACCCCCACGGACCACAGGTCCACCCGGGCGTCGTACTGCCGCTGACACACCATCTCGGGGGCCATATAGAGGGGGGAGCCACGGAGCACATGCTTCTCGTCCCAGGGAGACATGTGCTGTGCAAAGCCAAAGTCTGCGGGCAAGAGGCCAGGCAGCAGGGCCCCAATTCTAGCTGCTGCCGCTCCTGCCCCTAAAGCCTCCCCTGGGTCCAGGGCAGGGCTCCTCCCCACCTGCAGGCTCACCAGGATCAAGCCTACTCTGTAGCCTCTGCTCACACCCCTTCTCTCCAGATTAGCCTAGAACACCCTCCTACACCTTCCTCTGGCAGTTGGAACAAATCCCACCCACCCCACACAGCCTTCTCCGGGATCTTTTTCCAGGAAGGCCACCCTGATTGCCCTAGCTATGAGGCTAGGGCCCAGTAGGGCCTAGAAGATGAGAGTTTACCTTGCTTTCTGGCCTCCCAGGCTCAAGTCCATTCTTCTCCAAGTCCCGTCAGGGGCCACAGCCACCTCCTCCCCCACCTTCCACCCTCCAGCACTCCCAGACTGAGCCCATCCTGTTGTCACACACGGAGTCTCGACCCTGATCCGAGACTGAGGCCTGACCCCGTCCAGTGCACTCTTGGAGTCACGCGTGGGGAGCCCAAGAAACGTCCTGCCTTTTGGTGGTGGGGCCCATCTCTGCATCTCCCAGCCCATCACTGTTTGATGACTCAACAGAGGGTGCCATGAGAACAGGGGCTGCTGAGCGAGCCTGGGCAGAGGGAATCCTCTGCACACCCACCCTCCAAACCTCATTTGGAGGTTCCAGACTCACACCTGCCAGTTTAAGGTGGGGCTTCTCCAAGGAGCTCAGCAGAATGTTCTGTGGCTTCAGATCCAGGTGAGAGATATTCTGTTCATGTAGGAACTGCAGGGCACTAGCTGGGGAACAAGGCCCACCCAGAGAAACAGGTCAGAGGAGCCCACCCTCCCCTGCCTCTCGCCCCTCCCCCCAGCCTTCCATCTGCCCCTTCAAGCCTGCCCAGCCTGCCCTCGGCTCTTTAACACTTAAGGATCAGGTTCCTGCCACTTCTAAGAATTTGCCCCCCAGCACCCTGGACCCCTGCATGTCCCCTCCCCCTCCTAGGAGCTTCCCCAGCTCTTGGGGTCTCATCGTTTTCCTTAGCCAAGTACTTGAGTCTACCCCCGGGCCCTGGGACATGCTAGAGTTCCTTATGGAAACCTGGATTCCCCCCACAGGAGGTGGGTGGGGGGGCTTCTCTCTCCACCTCTCCTGGCATCCCGAGGCCAGGGATAGGCACACGGGAAAGACGGGGCCCTAACCGTCCAAGCTGAGACAGAGACAAGTGCGAGGGGTCAAGGAGGGTCGGGGCAGGGGTCACAGGAAGGGGTGTCCGGCGGGGTCAGAGGCTTTACCCAACTGCTGCATGAAGACGCGAGCCACCTTCTCGGGCAGAATCCTGCGGGTGTGGATGAAGCGGGACAGGTCGCCCCCTGCGCAGAACTCCATGATGAGGTAGATGTGGTCGCTGTCCCACTGCGGCGACAGGCAGACGCAGACGGCAGCTGGAAGGGAGCGTCCCTCCAGCGCCCCGTGGGGGCCGCCCCACCCCGGGCCCGCACCTGGAAGTCTCTGAGCTGCACGATGTGCGGGTGTCGAATGCCCTTGAGGATCTCGATCTCCGTCAGGAGGTTCTCCACCGAGGCCTTGTTCAGGCTCTTCTTGGCCACGCACTTTATGGCTACGACCTCGCGGGTGTCCTTCTGGGGCGGCAGATCCGAGGGCTCGGGGCACAGCCGGTGCCCGCCCCCCCCCCCCCCCCCCCCCCGGCCTGCGGGCTCCCAGTCCGGGTCTCAGGCCCGCGGGGCACCGGCTTCGGGAATCCCCGCCTCCGCGCCGAGCTGCGCCCCGGGGGCCCCTCCGCGGCCGGCCTTCTGGAACCGCCGCCCAGCCTCCTCCCAGCGCCGCGTCCGCCCCGTGCCGCGCCCGCTCCTCGGCCGCTCGCGGGGCTCCCAGGCCTCCGCCCGCCTCCCGACACACCGGGCTGCGCGGCCGCGTGCAGCCCCGGGCGCAGCCCCCGCCGCCCCCCGCGCCGCCCACCTTGGCGTAGGCCTTGTACACGGTGGCGTACGTGCCGCTGCCCAGGCGCTCGGTGAGGATGAAGCCGTCCAGCCGCGGGGGCCCCCAGCCGGGCCCCGCCATCCCCGCGCCCCGCGCCCCGCGCCCCGCGCCCGCCGCTTCCGGCCGCCCCTCGTCCCGGCTCCACGCCGCCCCCAGCGCCGCCCGCCGGGACTGCAGCGCGCTGGGCGGGGCGCTGCCCCCGGCCCCGCCCCCGCCCCCCCGCGGCCCCGCCCCCGCCCCCCGCGGCCCCGCCCCCGGCCCGCCCCCGCCGGCCTCCCCGAATCCCGGGGTGGGCGCGCCCTGGTCTCCGCGGGCCCGAGGCCGGCAGCCGTGGCCGTCCGCGGGAATCCCATCCGGGCTGTAGGGCTCACGGGAGGGGCAACGGCGGGGAGCGCGGCTGAGCAGGTGCGCGGGCTGGGGTCCGAGTCGCGGAGGCTCCCCCAAGCGCCCCGCCCGCCCAGAACCGTGGGACGACAGGGTGCTTTTCGCCGAGCAGCCTCGGGAGGCGGCTTGGCAGCTCCCAGGCCAGCGGAGCAGGGCGGCCAGAGGCAGCACCCTGACCGCCTCCTCTCGTGCAGGCTCCGTGGGCCTCCCCATCCCCCCAAGTATACCAGACAGGGGGACCCGTGTTGTCTGAAAATGTCGTTTTTATTTAAAGCACAAAAATCGAGACAGAACATATACATTTGTACAAGGGGGAAAAAATACCAGAAAGTTTACAAAACCTTGATCACTGCCACGGCCTTCAGCGGCTCTGGGGCTGAGTGGGCTGGCAGTCCGCTCGCCGCGTCGGAGTGGGCCCCAGGTGCCAGAGGCAGGCAGGCAGTTGGCCAGCTTTTTGAAAAGTGCCCTCAGTCCACACACCCACCCCTGTATGCAGCCTTCGGAGGACAGGGTGCAGGGCTTATCTGGGGGCTCCAGGTGCCCATCCAACAGACACGCCCACGGAATTACCAGGGCCAGTAACAGGAGACAGGTTCGGCTGGGGGTGTGGGCGGACCCTCCGATAAGTGGCTCGTGGGTCCAGCAAGAGGGGTCCAGTCCTGGAATGATTCTCCTGCCCTCCCGAAGAGTCCTATTGCTGAGGGTGGAAGGCAGAGCAGGGAAGAAGCTGAGGCCTTGGCAAAGGGATGCTGTTCCTCAAGAGGAGAGGAAATCAGGATAAACAGGGCCAAACCACAGCAGGACAGTCATACTCCACCCTGCCAGACAACTGCCAAAGGCTGGGCAGGACCACCTGGGGTCAATGTCCTCTATCCCTCCCATCCCCAAATCCCAGGCAAGCCCACTGCACATTCAGTACGTCCATGGAGGGGAGGGCTCAGAGAGGCCCCAAGGGGCACACATGCCACCCATACCGGGGGCAGGTGCAGGGGGCACTGATCGGCTCTAAATCTGTGAGAAACATAAGGCAGGGAAGAGCCTACAGGTGATGCCCGAGGCTTTGGAGGCCCAGAGACCACCTCAGAGTAATCTGGGGAACAGAGCTTTCCATCCACCTGGACTGGAGCTCATCTAAAGGGGAGCCCTTGGGCGACTACCCCAGCCTGGGCAGGAAGGTAGAGGCAGGATTGTGGATGCCACAGGCTGGGTCTGTGGAGCCAGTTTCAGGCTAGGCGTGCTGGGGAGGAGTGGAGCCCCAGGAACCCGGCAGAAATAAGACTCCAGCTGGCACAGGTCCAGGTCAGCTGGTGATTCCAAGTGTGCACATGTATGTGCACGTGTGTGTCTGTGTGTGTATGTGTGTGCATGGGGGGGGGGAGTGAACTTCATTCCCACTGCTTCGAATCCTACCAGACCACCACCAGAGAAGACAGCTTTTTTTTTTTCTTTTCTCTTCTGTAAAAAAAAAAGCCCTGTCCCTCCCTCCCCTTCCCTTGGGCAAAATGGGAGAGCTGGTGGCTGAGGAAGGAGGAAGGACCCCGGCAAGACCCTCCCTGGGTCTGTGCTGAGCATAACCATTGTTTAAGGCACCCACGGCAAGTGCAGCTAGAAGGCAGGCGAGAGAAAAGGCTGCTGGGGCAGAGGAAGGAGAGTCAGGAGGACTAGTTCCCTTGGAAGGCTCCCCGGGCAGCAGAGGAGGCAGCGCTGCGGAAGGTCCTGTTGCTGAAGATGCCCTGGGAAAACTCCTCCTGGGCCTGCTGGAAGCTGGCCCCCGTCCGGCGGTACAGGGAGTGCACCTGCGGAAAGAGGCTACGGTGAGAAGTACACCCTGGACGCCCACTTGATCTCCTACCCAGAGCCTTGGTGACAGTCACTGGACCTCTGGGACTAGGGTAGAGGGGAGCAACTGCCTCCAGTGATGGGCATCCCCGAGGCGGAGGCTGGAGAGAGCTGCCCCAGTGCCCACCACTCACCCGCTTCAGAAGGAAGAGTGAGAGCACAGCACACAGGGTGAAGAAGCCAGCCACCACCATCATGATGATCGACACAGCCAAGTGGTCTTGCTTCAGTGTAGACAGGGCTGCGATCCAACCACTGCAAAGGGAAGAGGAAGCCAGAGAGGACACAGTGGGAGTAGGCCCCAGAGGTCCTCTTCTCTAAGTGGCCACTGTAGGCTGACCAGCCACCATCCAGGCACGTCCCCGCAGCATAGAGCCATGGGCCAGAAGCCCTTGGCCTGTGAAGGCTGAGAGGCCCCACACTGCCGTCAGACAGGAGTAGTATGGGGGGCGGGGCGGGGGGCTTTTCCTGCTGCTACGAGGGCAGATGGAAAGCTGGGCTGCTGACTTCCAAAGGCTCACCCACTGGGGAAAAGGAATACTGGCCTGGCCAACCCATTACACTCATCCTGTATCACCTCAGCTCCTCCCACTGAGGGCCCAGGGCAGCCCCTCTGCCTCCCATCAGTCATGTCACCTTCCTGAGCCCCAGGATCCTTACCTATAAAAGGGGATATTTTCACACTTCCTGATTTAAAAACTTACTACAAAGCCACAATTCTCAAAACAGTGCACTACTGGCATAAGGACATATAGATAAATGGAAAAGAACCGAGTCCAGAAACACGCCAATTGGTCTACCATCAACTGATCCTTGACGAGGGCGCCAAGACCACTACATGGAGAAAGAACACTCTTCAACAAATGGTGCTGGACATCCACATGCAAAACAATGAAGCTGGACCTTGACTTCAGCTACACAAAAATCAACCCCAGATAGATCAGAGACACCTAATATGAGCTAAAACCAGAACACTGGGCAGCTCGTGTGGATCAGCGGTTTACTGCCGCCTTTAGCCCAGGGCGTGATCCCGGGGTCCTGGGATGAGTCCCATGTCAGGCTTCCTGCATGGAGCCTGCTTCTCCCTCTGCCTGTGTCTCTGCCTCTCTCTCTGTGTCTCTCGTGAATAAATAAAATCTTAAAAAATAATAAAAATAAAACTAGAACACTTAGAAGAAAACAGTTTACCCTCCATGACTTTGGATTTGGCACTGGTTTAGATATGACAGTGAAAATGCAAGCAACAAAATAATAGACTTCATCAAAATTTAAAACTTTTGTGCATCAAAGGACACTATCACAAGAATGAAAAGGGGAGGGGGGAATGTGTTAATCTGATAAGCTAGTATCCAGAATATATATAGAACTCAATAACAAAAAAAGCAACCCCATTACTAGAGAAAGACCTGAATAGATATTCCTTACATATGCCCAAAAAGTACATAAAAGATGGCAAACATCATTAATTATTCAGGAAATGTCAATCAAAACCACAGTGAGAGGGGCATCTAGGTGGCTCAGTCAGTCGGTCTTGGGTTGTGGGTTTGGGCCCCATGTTGGGCTCCATGCTGGCTGTGGAGCCTACTTAAAAACAAAAAACAAAACAAAACAAAACAAAAAACCCATCACAGTGAGATTTACCTCCAGGTTGAGAACAAAACACAATTAAGCATTGGTGAGAAAAAAAAAAAAAGCATTGGTGAGGTTGTGGCAAGACGAGAACCCTCACATGCGGCCAATGGACATGTTAAAGAAAACATGGTGCAGCCACTTCAGGAAACAGTGGCTGCCCCGCCCCATGTCTTACCACATGACCCAGCAATTCTACTCCAGATACGTACCCAAAAGAACCAAAACCAGATATTCAAAGACTTTTATAAAATGTTCACACCAGCACTATTTGCAACAGCAAAAAGGTGGAAACAACCCCAGGCTCTGTCCAGGGATGAGTGGATAAGCGGATGGACGATTATTCCAGAAAAAGAGAAGTGAAGTACTGATCTGTGTTACAACATCACAATGAGTGAGAGAGGCTGGGCGCAACAAGCCACACATTGCATGGTTCCATTTACATGAAATGCCCACAGAGCAGTCTCGTCACTGCCCGGGGCTCAGGGGAGGACTGCTGAGTAGTACAGTCTCCTTTGGGGTGACACAAATGTGCTGGAACCACATAGAGGAAAGGGCTGTGTAACATTGTGGATCTACTAAACACCACTTAATTTTTTACTTTAAGATGGTTGAAGTGGTCAATAAAATAAATGTTATCTTCTGTGTACTTTATAATCAGCAAGATGGGGTTCCAGCCAGCCAGCCAGCCATGGGGGTTGGGAGGGGAGGGGAGGAAGGCCCTGGGAAGCTGGGGGCTGCAGAGCTCCTGAGGAAGCCTGGCGGGGCAGGGGTGAGGGCTGAGCAGGGGGTGGGCTGGGACCAGAACTCAAGCCTGCTGAATGCGGGTCAGGAACAAACAGCACTTAGGCCACAGCCTATCTTCCAGGATCTCACTGAGGATAGTGAGGAATGGCATTCTCAGAGAGAAAGGGGCCAGCTTAGAAACAGCAGGGCGAGCCGGATGAGGGGTAGCGGGAGGGCAGGGTGCATGCTCCAAGTACAAGGTCAGTCAGTCCCCTCCCTCCGCTCTGGGTCGGCCAGCTCCACTGGAGGGTGGGGACCAACGTAGTGCAGCTCTTCCAGCCTTGGGCTCTCAGCCAAGCGGCAGCCCGACCTTTCTGTCATGTTCCCTGTGCACTGGGGCAGAAAGGAAAACATCAACCAGCAGCTTTTCTTTTTGAGGCTAATTTAGAGCTGAGGACTACGGCACCCAGGAAACTCAAGCCAGCTCCATGCTCAAAGCAACCTGGGAGAGGCTAGGGCTCCA